ATCATGAAATTAAGCCACTTTTCCAAGATTTTAGCATGTAAGTGAATGGAGCTCTAGCCAGAGTTAAAAGCTGAATAAAAGATGGCAGCACGAGATTTCATTGATTTTTCTGCTATTTAGAAACTATCCTATTGAATGTTTCCCCGATATACTGGGAACGTAATGAGCGTATTGTCAAGTAAAGAAACGCTTAAAAAACGTTCACAGACTACTAAATGATAATACACCTACCATACGCGTTTCCGCCCTTTGATTTAACATTTGATAAGTTGATTAAATGGAATGGGCCACTCATAGAATTCTCAAGATGAAGTACAATAAGGAGATCGAGCTACATGTTTTAAGAGCTTTTGTACGGGAACGTGTAGAATAAAGTGGCAGTAAAGACGCCCTAACATAATATCTTCCAATTTGCGTCGACTTTTTGTTGCTTTCAGTAGTAGTGATACAAATAGTGTGTAATTGCGAAACTGTGTTCCGGACGGTCGATGATGAGGTACATGTATTCGGTCTGCAACTACTAACATTTTTTATCCTTATATCTCACCCTATGCTTAGTGAGCGGACCTAATTTCAAGGGCGATGGTAAAGACGAGACAGGGCGCCCAAACCTAACTATGGCGGACCAGCAGTAAGTTTATTTCTCTAAGTTCTACTCTTTATTGGCCATGTGCTGGCCTGTAACTTGGTGCACTGATGCTTCAGATGCCCATAATAAGATTTGTAATGTAAGAAAGATTCATACTTATATGTGAAATGGATACGAAGTGATGTGAAAAGAAAAATTAATTTTCTGCATATTTTTTTTTCGATTATTTTCAAAATAATGATACTTCTCCTGCATAGAATTCCTTGATATTGCATGTAATTATTGTTGATGAACGCATTTATATCGTAAACCCATCCATTTCCCAATTTGAGCCGTAATTGTAGTCAAATCAGGAGATTTTGATTCCTCGAAAGGAAGAGCAATGGTTATGGTAATAAAAGCATGTTTGGACGAGCCGTGGAATAGGGATTACATTTATCCTGTTTATTTTCAGATATGTGGGATTCCAGTGTTACTACTGTCACGGAAAATCAAAAGACTTTGATGATATAATACACCACCTGATCAATAAACAATTTACACAATGTGTTAACAGTGATTATGTTGTCTCAGAAAAAATTAATCTGACAAAAGTTTATCCCACAGTGCAGAAACTTGTGACTACATCTGTCATGTTAACAACCTCTGACTACATCTGCCATGTTAACAACCTCTGACTACATCTGTCATGGTAACAACCTCTGACTACATCTGCTATGTTAACAACCTCTATCTACATCTGCCATGTTAAAAACCTCTGACTACATCTGCCATGTTAACAACCTCTCACTACATCTGTCATGGTAACAGCCTCTCACTACATCTGTCATGGTAACAACCTCTTACTACATCTGTTATGTTAACAACCTCTAACTACATCTGCCATGTTAAAAACCTCTCACTACATCTGTCATATTAACAACCTCTGACTACATCTGTCATGTTAACAATCTCTGACTCTATCTGCCATGTTAACAGCCTCTGACTACACTTGTCATGTAAATAAAGTCTGACTTCATTTATTATGTTAACAATTTCTGAATACACCTGCCATGTTAACACCCTTTGACATCAACAATCTCTGACTACATCTGTCATGCGTCTGATTTTTTATGACTTTGTCAACATTTGTTAAAAAGTGTGGGCCAGTTACCATTTATACAATTTTAAAATTCTTTTAAGTTATTCTATTTATTCGTTCAACAACCAACACTTTTTGATAAATCATAAAATCAAGTGACCACATGTTTTGCAAGTTTTTACCATTGATTGAAGCCTATGACAACCTTGCCCAAATTCATTAATTTATTAATTGACAGTGTACATTTTAGCTGAATTTAGCAGTACACGTAGCAGCTAAGTGCTTGCCCATAGCCACTCCTCTTCGCAAATTACATCGCCATTGCTCGTCATCGAAATTCTGATCGCCGAATAGTAAACATTCATTTTGTATTGGATGTACATAACTAGAAACCGCCTTATTTCGCATATATGAAAAAATAAAACATATCTAGGTACATGTATCTTTATATGTGACATCGATCAGGAATTATTGACATATTGACAATATTAGGTTGTAATTTCTTGCGGTAAATTCAAATTGTATCTTTAAACGACTGTTTCATCTTAACTATTCGTTTTATTGGATGTAAAACAAACGGTATGCATAGTTTAACATCTTTCACTTCTAAAACAGCATAAAATATCACAATACCATCACCTAATGCTGCAATAATACGACTTAAAATGTTATGGTACTGATATTCTTTGGTTTTTGGGCGCCATGCCTCGTCTTTACCATCACCCTTGAAATTAGGTCCGCTCACTAAGCATATCTTGACACTGATGTTACAAATAGCCATTCAGCATTTATAATACATGTCATTTTAGTTCTGACACATTCCATTCCATTCAGTCTTCCTTGTTGATAAATAAATCATTACTTGTTTCTATCGTGAAACAATGTTTGCAAATGAATAAATAAAATTTAATTTAGAATTGCTCGCCGATTGTTGAAAACAAACCTCAAATAGATTTTATTCATTGACAAAGTGAAACGACTTTTTATTTGTTTGTTTATGTTTATTGTAGTAACGGATAGAGTAGGTGTGCTTGATTTATTTATTACCACCTTGCCGGGCCAGTTCTAGGGGTTTTGATGGAGTTTAGAAGGCATTCATTTTACTATATCGACCTGAGCAATATGTGACGTCATAGTGGCGGTCCACATTGCTGGTCAAGAATGCAATTAATGACCGGCAATTTTCCACGGAAATTAGATATCGTTCAGAGCGTAAGATTTTCTTGCTGTTTCAGTCCAGGTCATTAACGGGCAATACTAGTATAGTGCAGTATTGGACCTTCGGCCCTCGGTCCGATATTTCACTATATTGCCATTCGAAATGACGTTATTTTACTTATCATACAAGCATTCACATCTTTCAAGAGATATTTAGGTGGGTGGGTGAATGGATGGATAGATTTTTTTTTAAAATTCAAGATGGCCGCCGCATGACATGGATTTTTCTCAAAAATCGAAGTTTCTCCAATGTTATAAATATTATTGTTCGAAATGGTCGTAGTATATTCCCAACATCTATCTATTTCACAAATATTCCGTGTTTCCGACCCTGACCCCCCAGGGGCCGTGCGTAATTTTGAGATCTTTCTTAAGTATAGCTTTAATATTTCCAAGGTTAAATTGACGACAAATTTGACGAGTTTTGAAAAATCGACATTCCTATGTAAACCATAGGCTTTCAATTAGGGCTAGTTGAAAGCCCATGTGTAAACCAATCGAAAGTGGAAGGCTTGTCACAAGTCATATGGCAGAGTATCCCGATCCATGTTCCAGTTATAATACAGGTTAAAGGGGCAACAAGGACTGTAGAGAAAAAAATAGAAAATCTTATTTTTTCTGAGCTATCAGGTCAATATTTGGCTAAACATTTATTTACCTATTTTCTTTAAGTGTATGGATAAACTATCAATTTCAGCATTGAGAAGTGTAAATTCAGTTCAAAGCTTCTATAAAGGGAGTCCCACTTATAGCTTTTTAAGATCCACCACGTTTCAAGAGGAATATCAGCTGAAATGATGTTCATCTAGGGGGTTTCTTTGAAGATAATGAAAATATATGTTAATCTTGATGAAATATCCCAACTTCAATTTATTTTGACACTGGTCGATGATCGTTGAATGCCCCCCCCCCCTCCCGTACTAATTGTTGCACCTCTAAGTAGATAAATACGTTTGCTTAGTAGAAAAGAAATTTAATTTTCTACACGGAAATATTTTTTACTCTGAATTAATAGCCTGAAATCCGATTTGTCCCGAAATCTGATTCGTACCCATTATTATCCCTTTTCAACCAATTAGGATTGAGCATCCATTCCACAATAATGTGGATCAATATATAAAGTAGTTTATATCCAGAGGTCAATACAAATTTTCATAAAGACCTGAGAAAATGAAAGGTGAACTCATGTTCCCCTTGTCTCTCCTGCTATTGTTTATGATGATGGGTGTCTGTAGAGGAGCAATTATAGGTGAAGTGATGACATCAGAGATAGACGGATGGGTGAAACGTAGTGGCGATTGCCATGGATGGGACATCGGTGATATACGTGGTATATCACTAGATGAGTGTGTTGCACAATGCAAAACAACCCCATCCTGTGTCATATTCACTTATCACCCTATCACAAGTCGATGTTTCAAGAAAAACCACGCGTGTACAATTTCTCAGATGAGTAATGATGCGGGCCTTGGACTGTTTACATGTCACCCCGATGCTGATGCATGTAAAACTGCAATGACAAAAGATAATCCAACAATTGAATTCTCCCCTTCATCGATAAAGACAAGTGACTTGTATTATGGACCGCAGCATGCATATATTGATGCCACTACAGTTCTGCACACTACCTTAGGCACGGTTGAGAAATTTGGAGGTTGGATGCCTGCTACAAATGATGCATCTGAATATTGGGAGGTCTCCTTTCGTGAACTGACCATTGTCGATAAGGTTATAACGCAGGGAGGTGAGGGTTCCACAAACTGGGTGACTCGGTATAATGTAAAGCACAAACCAAGCTCAAGTGATGAGTGGTTGAGCGTTGGACCATATGATGCAAACACCAATGCAGAAGACAAAGTTACACATCTACTTGTACCAACTGCTACCGCCAAAATCTACCGTCTTGAAATCATAGCATGGAATGGTGCGATTGCAATGAGAGTGGAGTTGATTGGGTGTCCTCCATCAGAGAGCTGTTCCCAGTCATTGGTCAAAGCTGACCCTGATGTCATCTTAACTGCTTCAACTACCTATGCAAATCCAGTCGCATATGGCGCAACACAGTCAAAGATTGATACGTTAACTACCGACGGGCAGGAAATATATCGTTATGGAGGATGGTCTGCTGGAACCTATAATCAGGATCAGTGGCTTCAGGTAACCAACAAAGGATAATGTTTCTCACAAATTCTCACTGCACATTGTATACATCAGAAAAATATTGTTTTTGAGAATAAAAAAGTTATTGCTACACAGTACACAAGCATAATATTTCCAAATGTGTTTAGAATTAGTATTCAACTTGAAACAAAACATCCATTTTTTCAATGAGGAGGTACTATTTATATTCAAATTTTAGAATAAAATGGTTGATTAAATCCTCAGCCGACAGTAGAATTCGCAAATGTCAAGTGGTAAGTAAAACATGTATTGAGTTTATTGGTAACTAAGCTAGCATTCGCGAATTCAACCGCCAGCTGACAGTTTGACTTACTCTTTTATGGCCAACTCATTTAGATTTGAATTATAGTGGCATAAAGGTTAAATTGCTAGTCATAAAAAGGAGGTTAATCCGTCAGCCGCCGGTCGGTAGTTACCGGCAGCGAATTCTACCTTAGTAACTAAGTTGTTTACTATGTCTACTTGTAGTTAGTCAGGCTGGATGGTTGGTTCACATGTCATTGTGAATGTGCATTTTTCTGTTACTCTTTTTAAGGTTGAGTTTCCAAAGATCAATGTAGTAACAGAGGTCATAACACAGGGATCTAATAGAAGAAATGGAAGGGTTACATCTTACAGGGTTTTATCAAGCATGGATGGTGTAAAATGGATTGAACGAGGTCAATTTTCAGGTAATGTATCACATTTTGTTTAAACGATAAAAAAGTCCACAATATCAGTGTTAATTTCCACGCCTAATATGGAATGGGGAGACAGTACTTTTCAGTGTTCTTTTTTTCGTTTTATTTTGTAAAACTGATACAAAATGGTTAAGGTTGTCCTCTCTGGAAAATTATTCCCATGCCCAACAAAAAGTCCAATGTCAAGGATCCTGTCATTTCTATTGCACTTAGATTTTTTGTAATGCCTCGGCCACATTTTCTACGGCAACCGCAGTGTCTATCATTCCTGCTGCCAGTTACATTCATACTGCTATCGTCTTAGAATTTCGACGATCGGATTGTCAAGCAGTAACATTTGCTTCGGCAGCCGAAAGGCGTATTTTGATTTTGAGGAGACATAAAAACTATGGATGCCGTATGGCTGATAAGTAATGACGCACGCTCAGCGTAAGGCGGCCCTACGCGATACGATAGATGTAGTTTTTCTTGAAAAAAACAAGGTAGAATTGTGAAAGGAGAATTGTAACCCATAAAATCCAAGAGCAGCCGCAAGTCGACCGTACCGTACTACGCCCGACGTACGACCAACATAGGAGCTTATAAATTATACGGTTTGGCGGCGGCTTGTTGATCTCTATAATGACCGCGGGAATGAAAAGTTTATAACTTCTACGGCGACTCTTCGGCCTGTAAAGATCGGATAAGACCGCAAGGCGACCGTAGTTTTCCTATGGCTGCCACAGAAATTCACTGATTTCATGAAACTTCGGTTGACGTGCGATCGCCGTGGAGCAAACGTGACTAGGGTTTTATCAATAGTACAATAACGTCATTTCAAAGGGCAATATAGTGAAATATTGGACCAAGGGCCGCAGGCCCAAGGTCCAATATTTCACTATTTTGCCCGCAGAAATGACGTTATTACTATTATTACCACCGTTAATGCCTAGGGCTGAAATAGCAAATTTTAAATAGAAAATCTTACGCACTGAACGATATCACTTTTCCCGGGAAACATTACTGCCCGACTAAAGTCATTAACGCCCGACACAATATTGCTCACGTCAATATAGCAATTTAAATGCCTTCTCAACTAGTACTAAAACCCCTAGAACATGCCCTGCAAGGTGGTAATAATAGTTTATTGTCATTAATTTCTCTCTCTGCCCCTAACGTCTTGATGTTTGTTTTGGTATACACTGTATGTACAGAGATCGCCTAGTATTAAAAGTGGGTGATCAAAGACTCGACAAGATGCGCAAAATTCAAATATCTTGCAACGGTTATTTTTAAAAGATTTATTTGTGTTTATATTACACGCTACTGGTGATTCAATAAGGTTTTGTAGGCACAAGAACACCCATATGCTTTGAAAAATATATATTACTTTGACCATTTTTCGTATATAAGATTGATTTTACGATGTAAAGATATAAATGCGATATATTATGTGCTGTTTTATTTAAAAAGCTTTAAAATATCAAAAACAATAGAAGATTTTTACTCACTTTAATTTTTTATACTTAGGTAGGGTCTTGGGCTTCCATTTGACCATGATAAAGTCTACGTTTCCTCTTAAATAACATGGAATAAATATTTTAACACAGAAATGAATTGATCGGCCTATAGCGTGAGTTTCAGCAGATCATACACTATATGCTTTAAAGAGAAGAAAATGGGGTTTCATGCAAAATGTATGTCCAAATTAAAATAAACATGTACATCACCGTTCATTGATTCATTCGATTAAATGGTCACTGTGTGCGTATATTTTGTTATTCTGTCTATGTTTGAATACAATATGATATGTACACTGTACACTGCTAAGAGAAAAACCTCTTGAAGCGTAACACCTTATAAATGGAACAGTTTTTAAAGTCACATTTCAGTCCATTTATTTTACCCTCTGATTCCAAGGTATGAAAACTTAACACCTTGGCATCCAAGAAGATTGTCGAATTGTAATGCAAGAATTGAATAAATCATAAATGAAAATGTATGTCACTGTATCATCCATTGTCATGATTGTGGTTGTTATGGACATGGGGTCTCATAATAAACTTATTAAATCTGAATTGTACACTTTCTATTTCATTGGGGAGTTAAATCATTCTTTTGCGGCAAGGTATCAATAAGTTATAGAAAAATGTAATGACCTTCAGTAGATGCCAGTAGTCAGTTCCCAGTTTCACCACGAGGTGGCTAACTTGGGTCATATGTAAATGATAGGTATAGGGGAAAGCTGCTCTATAGTTCAATATTCAGAAGATTTATTGATCAATTTTCAATTAAGGTGTATAGGTGATTAGCTTGAAAATGTTAGAATTGTATGTAATCGAATGCAAAATAAACGCCCAGTTGGCGTTTTTAGAGAAACAAAGTGAAATAAATACTCTGCTATTCTAGACAGCGTTATGTGGATGGGCTGAGGAAAAGTTCCAGTTTAGGCTTTGGTCATATGTACATTAAAGATTTGTTTGATTTATAATTAAAACCAAATCTTTACTTGTCAAGCTCATAAATCTTCTAATCATTCTAAATTTGCCTCTATTTTCAATAATCTTTCTCATCTTCATCATTTCATCTTCATGATGTTCTATAAGGTGATTTATAATGTTTTGAAATTTAACAGTTCGTAGTGAAGGACAATAGAAACATGTAAATCCAACCACTCTGAAATGCAAAGAACATATCATTAGAATCCACATGGTAAAATCACTCACTTGGCTGATCATAAATTTTTTAATAACATCCTCCTTACTCGATACTGAAGGGGGGTTGGAACGTCTGATATGCATGTAATGTTAAGTTTTATGTATATTAACCATACATGATATTGGTTTTGTGGTTTTGGCAATCTAAAAATAGAAAATTTTGTGAAAAATACATTTTCGTTCGACGGGTTTTTGATTTTGCTTCTTTTATCAACTCAGTTCAGGTATTTCGGTTGATTTAATCACTGAATCCTGTTACCAAATGAATCTTGAGTCTCTTATACAGCATATGGAATACCATCTGTAGGTAAAATGACTTTAAACTGGTAAAGAGAAGACAAACAAACATACCTTTCCTCCGACATTTTGGATTTTGCGCATCTTGTCGAGTCTTTGATCACCCACTTTTAATACTAGGCGATCTCTGTACATACAGTGTTTATGTTTTATAACAATTTAGAAAAATCAAACAGAAAAAGAAGTTGCAACTGCTTGGAATAGCATATACCACTGAACGAAATATATCGCATCAAACTCTATATTTCATTTGGGACAGGTCGTATTATTTCTTATAACATGATATGAAACCATATCATGTTGTGGGTGGGGCTGTGTGTTCATGACTTTTTATTATACCCCATTTTGACTCTTATTTAAAAGTAATACCCACTTGCTAATCATTTTTACCTATTTATTTTAGAAATACCATTTAGCGGTGATGCGAACACAAAACTATACAACAAGTTCACTGAAAGATTTATTGCAAAATACGTTCGTATAAACCCATTAACATGGAGCGGCGATGTTGAAGTCAGAGTTGGCTATCTTGGATGCGATTATAGCAAATACATTAACTTGAACGAAAGTTTCGATAACACATTTCCACCCATAGTGCTCAACCGTATCATTGATAACGATTTCAACACTTGCATGAACATTCCTAACAAAGCTGAAGCCCCTGGATATCTGAAATTCTCAACTGATTTGAACTTGGACTTTGGGTCTGATACAGAGTTCTATGTTGTGATGACAGGGCGAATAGAATGTGAAAGCCCATACCATTATGTGTATTCCGTAGATATGGATGCACCGGCTAGTACAAATCTCCACACAGGACGGTTTGAAAAATGCGAGCTATTTGCTACGGATGTCCTTCTTGACAACAAACACAGCTGTACCTACATCTGTGGATGCAATCCATGTGGCCACAGTGGTTTTGCATTTTTCAATCTCCCAAAATCATACACTTGGACGTTATGTGATGTTAAAATGCTACCATTGGACACAATCTAAAATTGTTAATATGAACATTACAAAAATAAGACCCAACTTCTGAGCACACGGTATACGTAAACATACTTGTATACTTCCAGTAATATTTGACGCTATTACATTTCATTTTTCTGTGATTTTGAACTAGCAAAAAGCACGAAATATAAGAACTAGTAGTGCGCAAAAATTACCGGGAGTACAGTATTAATAAAACCAATATTCGATTAAATCCCGAAGACATTTCTATGCCAGTAGGTGATGAAGAGATATGGTGTATGAAAAGTATTTTGCTCATATGGTAGATATGTGAAATTATAACGACTTACAACTTTTAAAGACTCGTTTCATGACAAATTACGCAACTAATGTTTCCAACCGGTTCTGAGATTCTGTCAAGAACGCCGCTCTAGTTTATAGTACCAATTGGGAAACATTTGGTTTAGACCACTAGATTTGTAGATGTAAGATATAGTTCTGCTTTTTAGAGAATATACCACTACTATATGCTTTCATATGGTATATGTACAAATACCATATACTGTAAGCATTGATCATGGTGACCATAGTAACCAAAGTCGATGCAAATGGGATACTGTAATTGAATAAGTAAGGCCAGGAAAATATTTTTATTAGATAGCTATAGTATGGATTATTTTGTTTACTTTTTCCAAAAATTGTGAAGTCTGTGAAAAAATGGCGGGAACGCTTTTTCTGCAAACTTCCAAGCAATCAGATACACATTAGAGAGATTTCGCACATAAGTGAAAGTACAACTTATACGTATACGTATACTTTAAAGGGTCATGTCGAACTATTATATTTACTAAAATCAATTTCAAATTGTACTTAATGGAACACAACTATTCCCGATATAGAAAAGCTCCATCAACTAGAGACTGTGCACTGTCATCTGCACGTGTAGATTATGCACATTATAATTAAATGCTTGCTACCGTGCCCTAGTAGTTGTAGTGTATTATAAACACGATCCTTTAAAGTGAGTCATGATCCTTTAAAGTGAGTCATTACATAAACAAGTTGATTATTTCAAAGTATTCATGATCAGTATAAGTTCAATGAACTTACAAAACGGTATATATACGAGATGACAAACGTATACAGTTGGATCTCCGTATAAAGCTTTACCTGCATGTGTGTGGAACAATTGACCGCAAGCATTTTTTAAAAATAATTGGCTGAGTAGGAACAGTATCCAATCAAATACTTTAACCATCAATTTGAAACACCAATCAAACCAGTAGGTTCTAGCAATTCCTTGAAACGACCAATTCAGTAGCTCAACAAATGACATACAGGGTGTTTCATAACGAGCCTCTCAAAAAGTCAATTTGAGAAGAGATAGGTCTATAACATACGTACTATATATGAGCCTATTTTATTCTAGACAAACACATTTGGATCAACTAAACATGCTTCAATTTAAGAAAGAACAAATGGCATCCCTTTGACCTTTATTTATTACAGTCCGAGAAGATCTTTCCTGACGAAAAGCCCACATTATGAAACACCTTGTACGTTTGATTATAAGTATAAGTATACGTTATAAGTTGTACTATCACGCCGTGCGAAATCTCTCTATTAATTATTTTCACTTGCCTTATTATATGATGACTATGTACATAATTTCCATATATATGTTCTAATACCTTCTTTTCCTAATAGCACTAATGATTGCTCTGATGCAAACTATTGTACATGAATATTTATTTATTTATTTATGAACTTTATTACACATGCATACCCATAAAGGGTTAAGTGTACACAAAGTAAACACTAATTTTACAATATATCAATACAACAGAAAACAGTATATACAGGGCGTTCAATAAGTATTGCTAATTTTGTAATAACTTTTGTTATCTTGCCCTTTTCTTCACGAAACTTGCACAACCTAAGGAACACATATCTGACCTTATCCTATTCAAATTTCCGGACAATTGACCTATTATTGACAAAGTAATGGTTACTATAGTAACCATTGTCACGGGTACGCGGGGCAACCTTAAGGGTTTACATGATAAATTATTGTTATACATCAAATAAACGCTTAAATTGATTAATAAAACTGCTCATATGGTCAAATCTTGATGTTGTCAGTTTGAATTATATGTATTATCTAACAACGAGCTATGACATCACAATATGTATAGTACATTGATTATCAAAGGAGTAGATGATAGTCGCATGATGATGTCATACCCCCTTGAAATAAAATGGCTGATAGAAAGTCTGTCCTGCCAAGCAATATCGACGTATAGGTTACACCAGGTAAATGGCCTGCTTAAAGATCCTCGTTTATCCAAAATACAATAACAGAGCTTGGGAAGGAAGCATTACCCCACGTTCCATATTCCCCAGATAATGTCCCACTTGATTGCGCTGTATTCGCCCCAGTGAAAAGAGATCTGAGAGGAATATCACACCAGAATCTCAATCAACTGATGTCTGCAGTGAAAACCTCCCTAGTCACACGCTTCAATAGTGGCTTCAAAAATGTGTACCACGAGTGGGTCCCCAGACAGCAACTGTGCCTTGACGCTGAGGGTGCTTCTTTTGAGCGAGCGCCTCATGAAGTGAAAATGGATCATGAAGTGACTCTGGAATGGATTATTTATAACTGCACTGAATATCCCAAGAGTATTACATGATACTGCTTTCAATAGTCAAAATGTTGTCCAAAGATAGGTCAGAACTTTGGTCCGCATATCCATGACACTGGGTACCTCAGTAACCATAACTTTACTAATACTAATTCAATTGAATTGAAATTTTTATTGGTCAAAGACAGATATATGTACCTTATGTTGTGAAAGTTCCATGAAAAAAGCAAGCAGTAACAAAAGTTATAGCGAAATTAGCAATACTTATTGAATGCCCTGTATAACAACACACACAATTAATACTTCATAATAAATAAATAAGTAAATAAATGAACAAATAAATATGTATCATGAATGATGATTGTGATACGCGTCCATTGTTTATGTCATATATCACACCCTTCTGTGTTATATTACATTTAATTAATATGATATATGAACATTATTTTGGTAATTAGGCAAGTTTGTGAAGTGAAGTATGAAAGACTGAAAAATAGAAAATTGTTAAAAGTCTCATGAAGTAATTTAATAACAAAATGATTTAGTTTTGCAATATTTCGATTTATTATGTAAATCTTTTTCAAGCAACTGACAAAGTTTTTTTACTTATGATAAACAACAATAGAACAAACAAGTTAACAGCAACGCCAAGGATTAGCAAATGCCATTGGACAGCCATAGCTGTCGATTTTGAAATTGGCCACCTATTAGCCAAATTGTCACATGCCAGTATAATTGCTTCAAAGTATTCACATATAAAATTTCAACAAAAACAACACACGTAGAATACTAAAAATGGTGGCCATTTTGAACTGGCCAAATTGTCGTAAGAAAGTATAAAAAGTAGTAACATATTTTCATGAGACAGTGTATCCATATACACATTGTGTTTTATTTTGTTTGAACGTATATAGATGCAAATTACTTCAAATAGGTACGTCTTGAACATTTCCGTTTACTTTAATTTAATTTTAAAAAATCAAAAAAATCTGGCCAGTCCTGGTGTCGATCTTGTATCAATTTACCTGGTCATACTATTTATAGATGTCTCTGTTAATTAAATCTGTACGCGTTTTCATCTATATATAATTTTACTTTTTATATTCACATTATAATCGACGTTAAATAAATTATATCTTATCATTAGTAAAGTGAGTCAAATCAAGTCAGTTCTAAGAAGAATTTTTTTTGAAATATCACTATTACTATGGGCTTTCAACTAAATGAAAGCTCATGCTTATTACCCATTCATGATCATTGGAAAACAAATCAGATATCGACTCAAAAAACTTAAACAGTTCAAAATTGTAAGTTTGACATTTTAGTTGTGAGTGATGAAAAATTGAGTTCAGGAAAAAGCTGACCAGTGAAATGAAAATGAAGTCAATTATTCTTTCATAACTAAAAATATGTGATATCAAAATATGTATGAACTAAATTAGTAACAAACATATTATTATATAAAACAGAAGAACTTGCAGCGAGAAGACGGACCGGTTCGGGGCAATCTGCTTGCAGCGAGAAGACGGACCGGTTCGGGGCAATAGCTGATGAAATTCTTTGTCACAAAGTTTAGCATTTTTTATAAAATTAAACGCGCGTCATTGAAACTCACAAGATGTAAATAGCATGTCATTTACATCATACCTTGATGGGGAAAAAAAGATCTTATGTTAGAAGTACTAAATAAAAGTTATCGTGAAAATGAGACAGTCGTTCTCGAGAGAAAAGAGCATAAATGCGCATTTAGAGAGTTTTGGTCCGTTTAAAAATCTGTAAAAAATTGGGGTACTTAAAGGGTGACGCATATCGTTTAGCAAATCGAAGGCTCGTTTCTGGTGTTGCTCACCGTTTAGTATAAAAGGCCCAATCCCGGAATAATACTCAAGGGTTCACAGGTTCGAGGTCGTTGTGTCAACACCTCTAACTGTTATATAGCATAAGTATATTATAGATCGTCACACATTTATAAAAGGGTGATTTTTATTTTGACAAATCAATTCCACATTTATGGGTGAAGTTTGAGGATCTTCTATTTGTGTATAATAAGGAAAAATTGGCATCTAAATTTCCCCATAACATAATAGCACACAGCTTGGCATATGAAATATCCTACAAATGAAACAAAGCAAGACAAACTGGTTTCTAATACAATAATTTATATTGGCTGTTGTACATGTATTATTTGAACGCAATCACTCTTTGGATAACTTTTTCAAAATCATTATAAACGGATTACTTATCTCAAAGACAATTTCAATAAACTGGATTTTACAGAACTCCCCTTATTTCTTAAAAATGGACTGATCCAGTTGATTCGCCTGGAGCCGCCATATTGTTTTTATACGGGATGCTAATCGGAACCCTTTAAAAGCATCGGGAGGCATCATATATTTCAAATGAGACACGAGGAAGTCAATATTGAGCAAGTTATGGCTATTTTAAATTCAAATAAAACCGTTAACCCGTACCGGTCCAGCTTTTGACCCGTACCGGTCAATTTTCGTTAGCTGCGTATACCAAGGGTGGTATAGGCGAACGCAGAAATATAGTCATTGTATGGCCTTATTCGTTCGAAAATGGCGATATGTACCCCAGAACTTGAATTTTGTAATTTTTTCAATATTTTTCAATGATTTACAGGAGGGACACCTTTTTCAATGAATTATCGTAGTGACACCTACACAGCCGGAACAGGAACTCGAGAGAATTGTGGGTAAAATCGATAATTGAAAAATACGGAATTTTACTCCGTCCAATATTCTGAGTGATATACGGCCAAGTCAGGCTAAATACTGGTCTCTATTATGAAGCTCTAATATTGTAAGGTAAGGCGATTATTGATATTAATCTGTGTTGAGGGCAAAGGAGGTCATGAAAAAAATATTGAAGTTTCGAGTAATTTTTTAATTTCTCAAAATCATTTCGTTCGTTGCGTAGCTTATACCTTTAGGCCTATACCTTTATACCAATAGTTCTGGAAGAAGGATGTTTCCTATATGATCCAGATCTTTTTGTGTTGTTGTGTCTTACTAATTAATTGGGGGGGAGTTGTTATAGTGCTCACTTGACATGGGTTTAGAGAATCAGCTATGGTAGTGGTACATCTGGCTTGCTAGATGTCTGTCTATTTCATTCTTGATCTGGTTGATACTTTCCACATCAATGGCAGACTGGGGTAGACTGTTCCAGGTATTCACAATTCTGTTGCCAAGGACATTTTTTCTCACATCAAGTCTGCTATGTCTGTGATCTAGTTTTTCTGTGTTTCCTCTTGTCCTGGTATTATCTGATTTCTGGGCGATGTCACTGATTTGTATTCGGTCGTAACCTTTTAGAATCTTGAAGATTTGGATAAGATCACCCCTTATTCTTCTATACAGTAAAGAGGGGAGTTTTAGTTGTCTCATTCTTTCTTCATAGCTTAAATCTTTCAATGGTGGTACTAGTTTTGATGCTCTTCTTTGTACTCTTTCAATTTTGTCAATATCCATATAGGTGTGGGGGTTCCAGACACTGTTTCCATATTCAAGGTGAGGCCGGACCATGGATTTATATAGGAGTGGTAAGGTGGTTCTATCAAGATGGGAGAAAGTTCTTTTTATTGTCCCAAGAATACTGTTGGCTTTGGATACTTGTTTATCTACATGTTGGTGGAACTTGAGTTTGCAGTCAATATTGATTCCAAGGTCCTTTTCCAATGTTGTTTGCTCCAAAGTTTTGTTGTTCATGGTGTAGTTTTGTTTCTCATTGTTGGTACCTAGATGCATCACCTTACATTTATCTGTATTGAAAGGGAGTTGCCATTCTTTTGACCAATTTATTAAACTGTCCAGATCTGTTTGTAACTGTTCTTTATCTTCTTGGTCTTTGACTTTTCCATACAGTTTGGCGTCATCTGCATACATAAGAAGCTTGTTCCGTGTGGCATCTGGGAGGTCATTTATAAACATTGCAAATAGGGATGGTCCAAGGCAGGTCCCTTGAGGGATACCTGAGAGAACAGGGGCCTACCCAGATGTCGTTCCATTCACTGATACTCTCTGGAGTCTATTAGTCAGAAAAGATCTGATCCAGACAAGTACAGAGCCCGTTATTCCATAAGATTTCAATTTTATGAGCAGACGTTCATGCGGGACACTGTCGAACGCTTTGCTAAAATCTGTGTCTACAGATTGTATCCACAGGGTTCCCGTCATCGATGTCTTTGGTTATATCCTCAAGGTAAATCAAAAGATTAAGAACTGTGGATCTTTTGGGTACAAAGCCAAATTGGTCATCTGTCAGTATCTCATTTTTAATTAAGTGTTCTACAATTTCATCTCTCACGATTTTTTCCAGCATTTTCACTACTATTGAGTCTACTCAGAAAGATTGAGCTGAGGTACGATCGATCTTAAAGGGGCAATAAGGACTGTAGAGAAAATAGAAAAGTTTTTTCATTTTTTCTGAGCTATCAAGGCAACATTTGGTTTAACATCTTCTTTGACATAACTATTTTCTTAAAATGTATGGATAAATTATCAAATTCAGCATTAAGAAGTGTAAATTCAGTTCAAAGCTTCAAAAAGGGGACTTCCACTTTTATATTTTTAAGATCCACCATGTTTCAAGAGGAATATCAGCTAAAATAATGTTTATCTAAGGGGTTTCTTTGTAGATAATAAAAATAGATGTTAGTCTAGATGAAATATCCAAACTTAAATATATTTTGACACTGGTCCATGATCGTTGAATGACCCCTCTGCACTAATTATTGTACCTTTAAGGTAACTTATAACTAAATCAAAAATCCAAATAGAAACAGTAAACATTTTGGAATGGGAATTTGAGTCCTCTGAAAATGTGACAGAAAAATTGACAAAAAGAGTAGCACGGCACAGGTCCCTGAACATTTTTTTTTCTAATTTCTCTGAAACATCCCTTTAATATACTGTAGAAGTGGAAACTTTAACGACGTGGAAACTTTGGCGAAATTTAGCGTTGAAGGAGAGACGCCAAAATAAAAATTCGTAGAAAAATATGAAAAAATATCGGTGGGCGATAATACCGTGAAGAATACAGATCGAAATCCAGATGATGAATTTCGTTTCGAATACATAAATAATACATACATCAGTGCTTCCTCATCGATTTACAATCATAATTAATACCTATTTTGTTTTGCAATCATGTTTTGTTGCCCTAAATGATGAAAACAATACAGAAATAATTCGATTTTTCGATCAAAAAATCTGTTATTTGATTGGATATCTACTGTCACGTGACAACTTATCACTAACATGAATGATACGATTATTTTATGAGAATATACTAGTATTTATTCCTAATAATAATGATAAATAGAATAAAGTTTGATAGTGAATTAGCCGAGTTTGTTACTTATTTGATTGTTTGTCGGGTATTAACACCTACTGTATGGTTTGAGCACATTGATTGGGGATTACACACAAACATAAACGACTTATCTTTGATGGTGACACGCCATTCCTCGAAAGGCAAGTTAATTATAGGGCTAATAACGGTGATATAGAGCTAATAACTGTGGTATACATGTTTACAACTCGGGGTTTACAAAACTGCAACCAATCGTGTTGGTGAATAAATGCTTCATGATAACCTAATAATAAGCTTATAAGCTCGCCCAAGTAATTTTCCATTTTCTTGATTGCTGGTCCGGGAAAGTTTAATTCGGCAATAGAGTTTTAGGGACCATCTCGCTAAAGTTTTGTTTCGCTAAAGTTTCCACTTCTACAGTAGCCCAAACTGGAAGGAGCTTTAGAATTTTGAAATCTCTCATACAAATTAAAAAAAATAGAAAAAAAAAATTTGAGAAGTGTACTTTTTTCCTTATTTTGATCCCAATTTTTTTATCGGGTAATTTTTCAAATTTCCATTGCTCCTTTGTTTTTGATATATGTTTGAAGTATATTTTCTGAAATGTTCAGATATTTTGAATCAGCGGTTTTTCACGGGCTACTCCTAGAAAAAAATCTTCTCAAATTCTTTAAACGGCACTTTTTTTCTCAAACTAAAGTTTTTTGTTGTTCTTTGATGTCTTTGTAATGATTACAGTGCACAAGCATATGTGAAATAATAAAAACGACTTCTCAGGAAGAGTTTGAAAATTTCAAGATTGTGAAATTTTCAATTTTTTCTGAAAATCGATTAAGTTAACAGTCACCTTAAAGAATTGCCAGAAGTCAATTTTTTTCAAACCAGTATAGAGAATTGCACTTATTTCTGTTCCTTTGTCATGCCATAGTTCATTTAGTGCCGATCATGTTGAAGAACTGTCACTCTGACGCGCTGAGACTGCGAAAGGCTCACTGAAGCGTTTTAGAATCTGACATGTTGAGAGCCAATCTTAAATTTTGGAAATTATGGCTCTCCAATTGCGCACTGGACAGCTGAAGAAGAGTGACCTTCAAAACACAAATTAATGTGATCAGCGGCTTACTTTTGGTCCTTAACTGCATCATGCATATATTAGAGTGCTGGGGTACTTCTTTGTTGATTAGGACTTGTAATTGTTCGTCGAGTAAATGTTGTTTTCCCAATTACAATTTTGCTTGGTAATTCACATAGATCTCCGGAGGTTTTCCACAAAAATAGAATTATCAGAGAAGCTTTAAACAATGAAATTGACTTTAAAGCCAGAAGAAAAATTTTTTGAACCATTTTTTCAGCTCTGAAGTACAGTGTGCCTTTAATTTAAATCACCTAGACATATTTCTTGTAAAAATGATTTGTTATTGTCATACTGATTATAGCCTTGCCTAAAGTCATTATTTTTTTACCTGATCTTGAATTATTACCGCCTTGCTCAATTATAATCTAATGCGTTATCGCTGATATTATGATAAGTTATTCAGTGGTTTTGAGATTTCCATAATTCCTACACTGTCAGAGGTATCGCGAAACCTTATTGATTGTCAAGATCGCGTGGACATAATGTGTGACTTCTCTGGCTGATTGACCAATCAAAACGTTTTCAGGTTAACCCGCATAAACAAAGCAAACTGCCCATCTATTTCTTCAGAGTTGCAATATATTATGTAATTAAAGTATACTGGAATGTAAGCAGTCATTAATAAAAATTACATCATACGATTCAATGTTGATTTGAAACTGAATTCGCAATGAAAATGCACGAAGACCTAGTCCATATAGTCATCGATCTAATTCAGTGATTGATCTGAGTCTCAGTCTAACAATTTCAGTGATCTTCTCAAAGTTTCTTGTTGAAATCTTCTCACCTCTGGGTATCCGATCGATGTTTTGGCATCCACTAAACTCTGATTGATATTAAACTGATAAAATATTTGTATTTTCATGATGAATTGTGCAAGATTTGCCAGAGGATTTGTTCTTGAAAAGTGTACTTCTTTTGACTGTGCATAATAATGAGCTAACACTACAGGGCTGACGTTGATTGGTCAAATTTACCTAGACACAAACATTGGGTCAGTGAAGCATGTGGCTTTCTCATTGCGGTCATAATAGAAATGTAATGTTACATGCGTTCTTTTGTCAGGATCAAAAGTGACTAACCATTTAAGCATACCATTGGAAAGCTCTGTTTGTCGTATTGAATTTAGTTTTTATTAGTTTGACATTTAACAACTGAGGAATCAAACATTACATATTAATTTTTAAAGATTTTAAAGACCAACAATATTTAGCGTGTTTTTTGTTATTTTCATACTGAACATAACATGTATGTGCATTTTCTCATCATGATCCAAAGTGACTAACCAGAATAATAATTGGTCTTGTAATAACTGAGACACCACCTAAAAAAAATTGACATTACAGATGTTTCATTTATCATGTGCGTTTTTCATCATGATTTAAAATGGTTAAACACATTTTAATCACAACCTTGAAAGACACCTAGTTTAACCTTCCTCTTCTAATTTTGCATCTAATTATCTTTAATTAAAAGACCAACAACCGACCACCGACCATGTGTATCCAACTGCAGAGAGTGACTGATCTTTTTTCGTAAACCTACAAAACAGTCCAGGTGGGTTTTGATTGTGCTGTCCTATGGTATAGAGTAGATTTTTAACTCTGCCTGTTTTCATTTGCAAGGTTTGTAGCCTATCTCAGTGTTTCATTTGTAAGGTCTGCAAAATGGCCTTACTCAATCTGTTTTCATTTGTAAGGTTGCTAACTCTGCCTGAGTTCATTTGTAAGGTTTGCTTATTCACTGATCAATATTCTGCTTTCATTCCAGGCTTCGTGAATTTTGCCTAACAGATATTGATGGGGGAACACTGAACAATTGCTAGAGAATATTGGATGTAAAATCCAATAAAGGATACCAATACAGAGGCAACGTTAACAGCATTGGAGCATTGGAATGTCATACACTGAAGACATAACGCAATTCACAAACATGTACAATAATAATTGAATAGGAGAAAATAAAGAATGTATAGGGCGATGAAATGAGCTGTATAATAGTAATATTATAAAGAAAATGTCCATAATTAAGGTTACAATTAAGTTGATTTATGAATGATATTGATTAATTGAGAATTATTTCTGTAATAAGCATTGAACTGAATCTTACCAAGGCTGATACAAGCTTCACTGGCTAAAGGATTATTAAAGAAGTCAGAAATAAACAGAAATAACGTTACAATAGTGCAGTATCCATAAATGGTGACAAAAAGCTATTTAGCATTAAGATTAAAACAAAGTTATGACAACGCTGAACTGACTAAAGAAGTATAGCCTTTAGAATGGAGGAGAATGTATTGTGTCCACGATTGCTGGATTACGTTGTGTTTGTTGGCAGTAAAGAACCAAGTAAAAACAACACTGCTGCTCAGACCCCTGAACTTTTGCGACGCTATCCTGTTGAAGATCATAAGGATTTTGCGTTACCTCCCGATGTCGTTTTCTTCTGCCAGCCAGAGGGTTGCATCAATGTTGGCCCAAAACAGCTAAGTTTACGAGAATCCACTTCTTTTGTGTTTACTTTAACAGAAAAGGACTCCGGAATATGCCGCTTTGGAATTTGCGTTAACTTTTATAGACCGTTTGAAAAGAAGCGTCCCCCACGGACTAAAAATAACGTGACACGCCAAGCTTCCGTGTCTTCAAATGAACAATCAGTGAATGAGTTGGATAATTCATTTAACAAGAGAAGTAAAACTATACGCAATCATACATTGACTTCAGTCTGCTTTATAAGCCATCATCCTTTCTTCTCTACATTCCGCGAGACTGTCTACGTACTTCGGCAGATCATAGAGGCTTGTAATGAACGCTCGTGCAATAAAAGAATCGGAGGCTCAAAATTCTCATCAAGGTTAGTAATTTTGAATTTTATTCACTCTTTAGTATTTTTGTTTTGCTAAAATTGTAACTCCATAAACAATTGTTTATTTCAATATTATTAGGTTGAACTTTAACTCAGGTTGCAATTTTAATTAACAATATACCTCTTCTGTTTAACTTAAACTTGCTTTTATGCAATGCGAATAATTGTTGAAGTAGTACAATACCACATTTGAAAAACATACTTAGGCAAGTTTTAAGTGAGAAACCTTATTGTTAGGAACTTGCCAGATCAATACACAACATACAATCCATACTTGCTAATGAATTAATTATTCCAGAGGAAAGAAGACACTCATTATAAACCCAGAGCATTAAACAGATGTTCGTAATATTGACTTTTGAATTAGTTTATCAATGCAATGCAAAGTAATACTAGATTAGTAAATAGTCAAAGATACCCTATATAGCCCCAAGGGGCTTGCGTTAAGATATTTTCACAACCATTACCGGAATGTTTCTCATGGTTTCTCATGAAAAAGGCCAGAAATGGAAGCACTTTTGAGCTTAACTTTGATTGTTTGAAACACTTGCTCAGCTCATATTATTGAACTGGCAATAGAAAAGAACATTTGAACCAATCATCAGTATTTTGATGTATATGACTTCATTCTATTTGGAAATAATATTTTCAAAATAAATTAAGTTTTAGAACTGGGTATTGGTGTTTGGATCTGCACGGATAATACCAATTGTTTTACTCTAAGAAAAAATTCTACGACAAAATAATTATAGGAACTTGAAGTGAAGTGAAAAGTGCTTTTATATTATATGTAGACAATTTTATGGTGTTAATTTTGTAAGTTGAAACTGACCATGTTTGACATGATTACAGAGATACTGTGTGGGGAGTGCTCTCAGGCCAAGGTACAGACAGTACCCCCAGTCTTGTTATTTAATAATGTTTGACATGATTACAGAGATACTGTGTGGGGAGTGCTCTCAGGCCAAGGTACAGACAGTACCCCCAGTCTTGTTATTTAATAATGTTTGACATGATTACAGAGATACTGTGTGGGGAGTGCTCTCAGGCCAAGGTACAGACAGTACCCCCAGTCTTGTTATTTAATAATGTTTGACATGATTACAGAGATACTGTGTGGGGAGTGCTCTCAGGCCAAGGTACAGACAGTACCCCCAGTCTTGTTATTTAATAATGTTTGACATGATTACAGAGATACTGTGTGGGGAGTGCTCTCAGGCCAAGGTACAGACAGTACCCCCAGTCTTGTTATTTAATAATGTTTGACATGATTACAGAGATACTGTGTGGGGAGTGCTCTCAGGCCAAGGTACAGACAGTACCCCCAGTCTTGTTATTTAATAATGTTTGATATGATTACAGAGATACTGTGTGGGGAGTGCTATCAGGCCAAGGTACAGACTGTACCCCCAGTCTTGTTATTTAATAATGTCTGATATGATTACAGAGATACTGTGTGGGGAGTGCTCTCATGCCAAGGTACAGACAGTACCCCCAGTCTTGTTATTTAATAATGTTTGACATGATTACAGAGATACTGTGTGGGGAGTGCTCTCATGCCAAGGTACAGACAGTACCCCCAGTCTTGTTATTTAATAATGTCTGATATGATTACAGAGATACTGTGTGGGGAGTGCTCTCAGGCCAAGGTACAGACAGTACCCCCAGTCTTGTTATTTAATAATGTCTGATATGATTACAGAGATACTGTGTGGGGAGTGCTCTCATGCCAAGGTACAGACAGTACCCCCAGTCTTGTTATTTAATAATGTTTGACATGATTACAGAGATACTGTGTGGGGAGTGCTCTCATGCCAAGGTACAGACAGTACCCCCAGTCTTGTTATTTAATAATGTCTGATATGATTACAGAGATACTGTGTGGGGAGTGCTCTCAGGCCAAGGTACAGACAGTACCCCCAGTCTTGTTATGCATGAGGTGCGGGAGATTGAGACATGGATATTACGACTGCTCAGTGCACCTGTACCTGTGCCAGGCAAAACCAAAGTCCAGGTGAGTACAACGGTTGAATATAAATATTAATGATAGTTGCAACTCAGAATTACTCTTATGGCCATTAGTAGCTCACTTGAGTAGGCTATTGTTATCGCCAATGGCACTTGTCTTGCATCTGTCAACCAAATTTCCCAGATTCCACAAAAAATCTAAATTATAGTAAGCTCCTACTGTTGAATATTGAAATCTTCCCGCGTGAGCCAAGTACTCGTGGTACTATTTTTTTCAAGAAGAGATTGACTTAAATTCATTGAGCAATATTAGAAAAACAGCATACTTTAGCAAAATATATTTTTGAACTGGGTTCTGGAGGTTGAGTTGTCTACTTATGGGACCTGACTTTCTGTAACAGGATCTCCATTTCTTCATTTCAAATAATTGGACCTCAGGGTGAAAATTCTGGAAAAGGGTTTAACTTAAATGTATTCAGTAGGGATCTGTGCCTATTCACGGGTTCATTAGTTGTAATTTGCTGTTAAGATCAAAAGTAAGAAGCTAACAATGCTTCAATTTGCGAAATTTAAACGAAAAGGATGGCAGTAACAAGAGTCGATCTAATGAATAATGCATGGGAAGACGAACTAACATGGGTTAACTTCACAGTTAGTACATACTCCAAACTACCATTTCTTTGTAAGAATTAAAACTGTTCTGGTGACATATTTTGATGATCCACCATGGCTAAATTCTCTCAACCAATCAGGTCACTTATTCACTGTTCTTTATAACTCAATAATGAACATGCATTTTATCATTTCATCTATCTATATCCAACTGTAAGTCCATCAACAAATATCTGACAAAAGAAGTTCTATTCATCAGAGCCAATATGTATATACCCTGGTATGTGGGGTTGTCCAGTTGGCCGAGAGGGCTTGAGCGCCGGAACATTCGAGCTAGGCGATTGGGCGCCAAAACCACGAGGTTGCGAGTTCGAGATGCTTGTGCTCCTTGTGTTTATTCATTTATGGGAGTTAATACTGCAGGTTATTTAAACCAATGGTGCAGCTATTACTTTTGTTTTGAAGAAATCTGTTTTTTGTCATTAAAGTAGAGTATCACGTTTTTACAATATACATCTTCACCATGTGAGGCCGCCAAATGATGCTATTTTCAAACCTATTTATTGCAATTTACAATTGTGGTCAATGCAACTGTCTTGAGTGAATTGTACTCTAGTCAAGATTTGGAGTTTTCTTAATTGATAAATACCATGATGAGGGTTTTATATGCCGGAAATGAGACTATTATAGTTTTTATGGTTGTGTGTAGGAGAAATTTGAATCTTCGGTGGCTTCAGTCCCTTACAACAATGCTGAGTCGCCATTTGTAGTTTATATTGGTTTGAATATAAAATAAAATTTGAAAAAATTATTTGGAATGATTGAGATTTCTTTTGATTTATTAAGACATATTTTCAATATGGTATTAGCCTCTCCGTCATGTGTGTTATTGCCTCTAATCAGAATCTTGTCAATACATTAGTAAGAGTTTGCGAATGACGCCTTTGTGTCGGATAAAACCTTTCCTGTCTTATTAGAATCATTATTATACCTCTATTTTTACTCTGATTTATAATTCAGAAAGCCATATAAAGAACCACGATGGATGGATGTGACACCGTAATCCTAGTAAATTGAGATAAAGTAATCGCACGATAATCAAATTATAAAAATGTTATATTCAAATAATGAGTTTTTCCTTTCTAGCTTTAATTCATCAAAATAAAATTATTGGATACATATTAGATATTTATTTAGATTTAAATAGTAAAATAGCCTTTCCACATCTTTTTCTCAACACGAAAATGTTCTTAAATGTGTGTCTCATTAGCTCACATGGTGAGCTATTGCAATCACTCAATTGTTTGTCTGTCTGTCCATTTGTTAACAACTGGCCAGTTTTAAAACCTGTATCCATAGGATTCCCGTTTTAAGTTATTTTTGTTCAACATCAATACAAAAAACTCCTTTATGACTCCTGGTTCAAAAGCTTGCCTATTTTCAAAATGCTCGCCATTTTTTGTCTTGCGAAATTCATAATAGATTATTGAAATAAGGTCTCATGATCGATACTTCCAAAAAATGTTTTAGCCTAAGGCATTAGAAGATGTAAGGAATTGCTATAACATGGAAAAGTTGATTAATTACAAGAAGTTAAAAATAGAAAATATTCAATAATGCAATACTGTATAAGTGGTAATTTTGCCTAATCAAACATTATCTTCATAATCTTATCCAATGGGAAGTCTCTTGTCATTAGGATAATTAAAATTAAGAAAATTATCAAATTTGACCATTCGGGAAATTAACCACTCAGATTAAATACCACTTATACAGTAAATGGGTTACAGTGCCCTTCATTTTTTTTAACATAGTGTTTAATGATATAATTATTGTAGGGGTTTGGGAAGAGGAAGAGAAAGAGATTGTAGAAAACATTGAACAGTGTTCAAAGTATGCTTACAACTTCAATTTGGAAATTGAGGAAAATTCTGGATAATTTGCCATTATTTTCCAATTAAGTATGGTTAGAAAATATCTTGAGAGGCTATAAGCTGTAAAAAAACAAATCCAATTGGTTTATTGTCCCCTAATTGATCATTTCATCATCTTTTACAGATTGCTAATTGAATATGGAATTGTTGATGGTGTGACTATTTTTTTAACCTCGCACTTATTATTCAACCCAATGCTTTGTCACTATGACTAATTCAAGTAAAATAAGGAAAATATTATGTTTGATATTTCGCAAGGAGTCAGCCATGAGAAATATATATTTCAACGGGATAACATTTTTAGTATTTTCTGATATGTCAATGAATGGTTTGTGGTATTTTGAAAATGATGAGTTAGTTGTCAAAGCTGTGAATAAAGTGATGTCCTATAATACTGATTCTGGATACCCTGGGGTGAAAATAAGGATATTTATCACAATATCATGTTATTAAATAATAGTTTTGTTCTAACAATAATCTTCCCTTTATAGCCATTCCTTGAGTCGATTCCTTGATTAATATCACATAGACTCATTTCTCAGCATTGCCTGCTTTGTGTTTAACCTTCAAGCTGGCCTTATTAGAACTTCTTAAGTCCTTTATCCAAGACATGTATATAGCCTACAGTGAGAAGATTTCTTTATGTTGTCTCTTCGTTCATTTATGTTTCAAGGATTTATTTGACCAAGACCTATTTACCCGGAATCCCAACAAGAAAGCAAGAAAGGTGAAATCATAGTATTGCAAAGAGTCCATTTTCTCTGAGGTCTGTATATGAGACATTTTTACATTCTTCTTATGTCTTCTAGCAATTTCAGAGCTTTGACATTCAGGAAATCCTAAAAGATCAATTACTTCTCGAAGGAACTTGGCTTATTACTCAGCTTTAATAATCCAATATGCCATTAGTTGACAAGAAGATATGATCACACCTATTGCTATAATACTACATGTTTCTGAAAAAGTTGCTCGAGTCACCTTGTAACAATATGCCAAGAACTACAGGGGCGTAGTCAGGTCACAGTCATAGGGGAGGGGGTTACAATATTTTTGAATCTAGGTTTCAAGTCATTTGAGTATGAAATTAGGATTTTTGGTCTTACTTAGAAGTTAATTGAATTAGAATATGCAGTTTTACCATTTTTAGATGAAAAATACTACTAACTGGGTAATCATTTAAATAAGACAATAGAATTTCCTCAAGTGAAAGGGTATCTTTAAAAAAGCAACAACAGTAGAATAATATGTCGTGGATAATTAATGAAAATTACTTTCTTCACCTTCTGTAATTGTTTCTTAACCCAAAACAATGTAATCTAATATGAATACGGAAATGGACCCCTTGTAATGTGTCATCATTATGATGTCATCTTTTTTGCTTTTGATTGCATGAGTATAATGTTATGTAGTCAGTTCAAGTATCTCAAATTAACTAGAGATCTAACGATCTAAGATTGCAAGCAATCTTACGGAGGCCCTATATTCGTTTCTGAACATTCAAAGGCCAGCCAAAGGTCAAATCTCTAATACAAGGTCATATATGAACTCCAGACAACTTGTAGATGATTTTTAAAAAAGGTTTGGTCGAATTAATGCAAGTTGAAATTTGACCTTGAAAAATTCCGAAATTTGACCTTTTTTCAGTTTTTGAGCTATAATATCTCAAAACTGGAGCCAAATTTTAATAAATAATCAATTGCTAATATGTGTAGAACCTTTAGTAGAGGAATATATATTCTGACTTTCATTTCAAAATATTGATTTGTAGTCTCCAATTTTGAGAAACTTAGAAAACACAGTTTGTGATTTCGTTTGATGACCTTGACCTTTAACCTTGCAAATTTTACTTTTTTAGACCTCAGAAGGTCTTTTGTGAATAAATATACCTAAATTTGAATCCAGAAAATCGATTTGAAAAATCAACTTTTTTGACCTTTCGGAGGTCACTGAAGGTCAACCAAAGGTCAAAGGTCAAAAGTAAGGTTAGATTTGGAATCCTGAGAACTTGTAGATGAGTTTTAAAAAAAATTGGTCAATTTGAAGCAAGTTGAAATTTAGTCTTGAAAAGTTTCGAAATTTGACCTTTTTTCAGTTTTTGAATTCCAATATCTCAAAACTGGTACACAATTTTAATAAATAGTCAATTGCTAATATGTGTAGAACCTATAGAGGAATATATATCCTGACTTTCATGAAAAAATATTGATTTGTAGTCTCCAATTTTGAGAAACTTAGAAAACACAGTTTGTGATTTAGTTTGATGACCTTGACTTTTGACCTTGCAAATTTTACTTTTTTGGTTCTCTTTTGTGATTAAATACACCTGAATTTGAATCCAAAAAATCGATTTGAAAAATCAACTTTTTGACCTTTCGGAGGTCACTAAAGGTCAACTAAAGGTCAACAAAAGGTCAAAAGTAAGGTAAGATTTGGAATCCTAAGAACTTGTAGATGAGTTTTAAAAAAAGTTTGGTCAATTTAGATCGAGTTGAAATCTGACCTTGAAAATTTTCGAAATTTTGACCTTTTTCAGTTTTTGAGCTCTTATATCTCAAAACTGGTGCAAAATTTTAATAGATAATCAAATGCTAATATGTGGAGAAAAAGTGGAGGAATATATATTTAGACTTTCATTAAACCTTATTGATTTGTAGTAACCAATTTTGAGAAACTTGGAAAACACAGTTTGTGATTTAATTCAATGACTTTGACCCTTGACCTTGCAAAATTTACTTTTTTGGACCTCTTCGGGTCTTTTGTGATTAAATGCACTTAAATTTGAATCCAGAAAATCGATTTGAAAAATCAACTTTTATGACATTTCGGAGGTCACTGAAGGTCAACAAAAGGTCAAAGGTCAAAAGTAAGGTAAGATTTGGAATCCTGAGAACTTGTAGATGAGTTTTAAAAAAAAGTTTGGTCAATTTAGATCAAGTTGAAATTTGACCTTGAAAATTTTCGAAATTTGACCTTTTTCAGTTTTTGAGCTCTAATATCTTAAAACTGGTGCAAAATTTTAAAAGATAATCAATTGCTAATATGTGTAGAACCTTTAGAGGAATATATATTCAGACTTTCATCAAAAAATATTGATTTGTAGTCACCAATTTTGAGAAACTTGGAAAACACAGTTTGTGATTTAATTCAATGACCTTGACCTTTGACCTTGCAAATTTTACTTTTTTGGATCTCTTGGGGTCTTTTGTGATTAAATGCACCTAAATTTGAATCCAGAAAATCAATTTGAAAAATAAACTTTTTTGACCTTTCGAAGGTCACTGAAGGTCAACTAAAGGTCATAGGTCAAAACTAAGGTCAGATTTGAGTTCCTGAGATCTTGTAGATGCTTTTTAAAAGAAAGTTTGGTCAATTAAGAGCAAGTTGAAATTTGACCTTGAAAAATTTCGAAATTTGACCTTTTTTCAGTTTTTGAGTTCTAATATCTCAAAACTGGAGCAAAATTTTAATAAATAGTCAATTGCTAATATGTGTAGAACCTTTAGAGGAATATATATTCTGACTTTCAGTAAAAAAAATTGATTTGTAGTCTCCAATTTTGAGAAACTTAAAAAACACAGTTTGTGATTTCGTTTGATGACCTTGACCTTTGACCTTGCAAATTTTACTTTTTTGGATCTCTTGGGGTCTTTTGTGATTAAATGCACCTAAATTTGAATCCAGAAAATTGATTTGAAAAATCAACTTTTTTGACCTTTCGGAGGTCACTGAAGGTCAACAAAAGGTCAAAGGTCAAAAGTAAGGTCAGATGTGGAATCCTGAGAACTTGTAGATGAGTTAAAAAAAAAAAATGGTCAATTTGAAGCAAGTTGAAAAAAGACCTTTTTTGACCTTTTTTTGACCTTCAATATCTCAAAATCTAGGCAAAATTTTCCTAGACGGCAAAAGGCTTAGACTAATAGAATACTAATATCTATCTGTATGCAAAAATTCAGCCAAAAATATTGAAGTGTAGTGTCAGGATTTGAGAAACTTGAAAAAACTTAGATTTGACCTAGATTTTGACCTTTGACCTTGACCTAGATATGAACTAATTTCCCGACAAGTCCAGCCCAGGTCCCTAATAGGACTATATCTGAGATAAGTCAAAGCTAGCTGGAAGTTGGAGAAAAAATGCTAAAAAGAATAATAAATAAAGAAGAATAACTACAAAAATGATAGGAGGCCCCTTGAAGGGCCTCCTAATAAGTAAATAAGATAGATATCTGCAGAATTCTCATCAAGGTACATTATGTTCAGATTAATTACTGCAAAAAATGCAGCTTGGAAGAGAAGGATTTTAGACAAACTATAGTACCATTTTAGCCAACCATCGAATAATTGAAAGCATTCGTCCAGAAAGTGAAGGGTCGTGGGTTCAATCCCTACTGGGGTAGACTGACTTCAGCTCGGCCCTTATGCTTAGCGTTGGTTTAATTCTGTGTTTTTATTAAACAATTTTTTTTCATTTTCATTTGAGTTACATATCTCACACAGACACCATTGGGTATATACGTGTGGTAGGATAATGTAACTTGATATCCTAAGGTAGAATCAGCTCCCCATAATCTAAATCTAGTAGATTATTTTTGATAATGTTGACTGCTCCTTTGTGTTTCAGTTGGAGGTGATGAATCCGGAAGTGATGCCAGCGTTACTATTCGCATTGCCCGACCACACTCGCTTTCCATTGGTGGATTTTCCTCTCCATCTTCCCCTTGAGCTGCTGGGTGTTGACACGTGTCTACGTGTACTGAGTTGTATCATACTGGAGCATAAGGTATGTATTTGGTTTATTGAATGTTACATGTAGAAGTTCTAGAAATTGATGGAACTTTTAAGAAGCGAGGCACATTTAAATGGGTGAGGTCAATTTGAGGTAAAGATAATATAATACGTAAAACTTTTGTTTACGTTCAATTGAAAAGGAATGTCTTGAGTTCGTATTTTACCTCTCCTGCCTTTTGTCAGACTTTGCCCATAGAGTGAATCAAATTTTGAATGCTTTTGAAAGATAGTCAGACTAAAACCCAAGAACCTTCAGAATCCAATCAGTTATACACTCTTAAATGTAATATTCCTCTAGTGTTTTATAAGTGGGAAATTGTGTACTAATAAGATATATAATTCAACACTTCATTTAAGGAGGAAACGATTATATTTGAATAATGCTTGTGTGCCTGCGTCATATTGATTACAGGAGATGAGGTAGAGAAACCTATTTATGATTATATAATCCTGACTTGGATATTAAAACAATAAAGTAATTACCAACATGTTAAATATTGTATCAATATCATATATTATGACATAATAAGATTATCATATCTTTAGATATAGGCTTTCGTCAGAGACTTTTGCCTTGTCTTCGAAACTAAATCCTTGATGTTTGACCCCTGCAATTGAAATATTGATTGTTTTCAAAAACCTGTAGTGGGAGCTCACGAGAATATTAATTTGTCAATATGTTGTTTCTGTGTCGATTTAGAATCAGCAGTTCCCAGTTCCAGTGTCTACAATTCATGTGTATTTTCACAAGTCCAAGAAAATCAAAACTGCTCAGTCTTTTGGTATTTGCCTGGTATTAATGCTGATCAATTACTGTTCGAACCTATACTTTCTTTATTTCGAGTCCCATTTATTGTGGTAAGCCACACCCTCTCCATCTCGATCCATCTGCGATGCAACAGAGAGAGATGCTATGAGTATCAGAATGAGTCCCATTGGTTATTATTATTGAATTTTTACCATGATGTGACAAAGATAAGTTTATGTAAGTTTTATTTGGAAACCATGAAGTGATCATTGCTAATAGGTTTGCGTGTTAGGTTTCGAAGGCAGTTTTGATGTTGTACAACTTAGATGATTACTCCCAGAGCCCACATGCTAATATTAAGACCCATTAGTGTCAATTAGCATGTGAGATGATGTAATTATTTGTGTCATTTATTTTGTTGAGCTTGTCACATAGTTGTTCTCAATTTCCAACAGTTTGTTTTTGCCCTTTGAAAGAGAGGTTCATCTTCACTTTTGAAAATAAGATAATCCTTGCTTGAGCCTCATCAATGCAAAATAGGTTGACCATAATTCACTGAGCCAATCAAACTTGCAATTCACAAAATTTATGGGTTCATAAACATCTGACATTTATTTCATATCGAAACTCCAATGAAAGGATAAGACACCTACGTGTGGGGTCATTAAGATCAATTCAACATTAAAATTGTATTGTATATATTTGTCCCTTTGAGAGGGTAGTAACAGTATTATATATTATCTGCACCTCAGGGTTCTCTCATAGTATATTCATTACATTGGTTAAAAATACATAGGATTTTAAGGTGTTACATTATGGCTGTCAAAATGCTTTATATATTCTCTGATAACTATATTCATATTATTATTGTTATAAAGTTTAGGCCATGCCCTGATAATCAGTGACCGTGCCAATATGCATGAGGTAAGGCACAGGAGGTACGGATGGCACTGGACAAAAGGCTCGGAGACTGCCAATAAATAATATAAAAAAAAATACTATACAGCAGGTTTAATAGTAGTCTTGCTTCAAAACTGTAGACCCCCTTATCTACTTTACCAACACATCATTTTGGGGGAGGGGGTATAGTCTGGGGGTGACAAATTTGCTTTGTAACAATGGATTTGAGGGTGTTATATACATGTCGGCTGTCAAAATTCTTTGTAACAATCCAATATATCCCTTGTGTATTACATGAACCAGTATAGTAGTATACCTTATTAAGTGAGAGTCATCGCTCAGATGATGAAATAACTTCTAATTGCCAGCAGAATCAAGATGATATCTAAACCATAAACCAGATTGATTAAATACTGTAATTGAATTCTCACGCAATTGGAATCCACCCACATAAAAAGAAATATCTCCCACATAAGCTATATTATAGTAGTAAGGGATTACATTTGTGGTAATATGTACGTCTATGACTTCCTCATTGTCTCTACAGAATATTACAGGATCTGTGCTAATGCATACGCCTGACTAATTCATTTGGGGAATAATCTGAAATACATGTACCTTTACTATAGCATCACAGGAGCATTTTTAATTCTATACAAATACTTATTAACATGTATCAAATTCCAGCCTATTAAAGCACAGTATTTTAGATGATCAGTATTGTGGATGTTTTAATCCTCACATCTGTTGTTTCCTCTGAGACTGACTGACTGACACTCATGCAATGTCTGGAAACAACACATACATGTACATTGTTAAAATCATCCTATAATTCATTGAGTTCTGAAAATTAAAACTGCCCATCATGTTAACTAATGCACCCATCCATTTCACAGGGGCCAATTCTACTGGAGTAAATTCTGAAGCAACTGGCTTTCTATGTTTTATCGTAGAGGAGTGATGTTATTGCGAAATCATTTTTGCCATTTTTGCCAGCCCATTATATAGTTGGTATGGTTCTAACAGCAGTCAGTCTATATTCAATGTTTTGAAATATATAAGGTTAAAAGGAGGTTCACTTTATTAATAAAAATACATTGATTCTGGCTCGTACAGTTATTGATTGCATCGTTAATGATCAGTTTTTTATTGCATATATAAGGTCACAGAAACCTAGCTTGCCGTGTGACTACATTATGCATATTTAGTTCATCATATAATAGTACTTTTGCTCTGGCCTAATTTTTAGCAATGCCAAAAATGAGAAAAATGATTTACAGGACTTTTTTGGGTTAAATTCGATGGGTTTAGATAATTATATTCATAGCCATTATGCTTTGTATAATTTTTCCAAAATTAGTAATATAAAAAATGAGTGAAAATGTACTAATGTTTTATGATTCATATACACTGTATGACTAACGATATCAGACACTGAATCATTTTGTGCATTGCCCTTCAATCATGTAATTTAGTAAAATGTGGTCTGATCCTATACTGGCAATGTAATATTAATAAACATGATCAAAGCAGGAGTAATATCCTAGATGGTCTTAATTAGTGATAAGTCAAATAAAATTTATGAATTATTCATTTTCCATCTGTAAATCTATTTCAATACCATCGACTTATTCATGCAGGGCTTTATTTGCATTCAACTATAATTGCCAAATTTGAGCCAGTCAATTGGTTGGTTGGTTTATGTGAGGCCGTGAGATGCCAAGGGCCACTATGGGCCACACCAGCTATATCCCATTGTCTCCTTAAGGAGAAGCCACTTAGATTGATGTCACCCCTGTCATTTACCTTATCACCCAATCTCCCTATCAAATTATGGCCCTCATTCTTCATTTTATTCTCTTTTATTACATCCCAAAAGAGAAGCTTTTTCAGCTTGATGGCATCCTCTTACCATTTAGCTTAAACGTCTCGCCTATTTCTTTACCTTTTCATCCTCTTTTCTTCTTATTTTTAATCACATGTTCCCTGCCCATTCCCCTATTCCTCCCCTTCCCCATCCCCCTCATCAAACTCCAATTCAAGACAGATCAGAGACAGCCAATAAATCAATATGTGAAGATATAACATTATGGCCAAGATGGAGCATATATTATAGGGAGTTGAGTAAGTTCAAACGGGAAAAGCTGATCATTGGGATGGAAAAATCAATGTTTTCTAAGACATCACTTAGTCTTTCTGCCAAGTTACTGATTTCAGATTAACAACTTCGGCATACTGCTGGGAAATATCCTATGGTGTAACAGTGCTGAATACCAAGTGAGATGACAAGGATAGACATGGGGTTAATAATCTTCATAAAACAACTTAAATATTCCATTTTTGAAATAGAATAATGTGAAATAAATATGACCCAACCATTAGTTGTCATGTATCCATGGAGACTAGAATTACACAGATAGACAAATATGATTCGCTGTCTCGTATGTTTATTGCATTGTGACACATAATCATAATACTGTATTATTGTTCTTAAGAGAGTCAGTGGTAAAAGACAATTTCTGTGACCAAGTAATATTTAATTTAAAAAATATGTCAGACTTTCATATTTGTTCTGTACCACATGAAACTGCACTTCTAAAAAGTTAAGTTTCATTAACAATAATGACATAGGACTTAACTCTATGGATTACAAATGATGTACCCTATATCACGATGTAGAATTTTAATCTTTTGAGATGACCCATATAGAGAAAATTATTTGGTGAAGTGTTTCCCAAAAGTCGAATCAATGACGTTATATCAGCATCTCAGAAACATAATGCAATTTGTAGAGTTAAGTGTATTGAAGGTCTGTTAAGTTCAGCTGTTTTGAGCAAAAAAATCAATTCTTTCATTGGAACAATTGAGGCAGTAGAGAGATGGAGTCTTATTCCCATTGCTACATTCTTTCAGTTTAATTTCAGGGCAACAATTCACATTAAATGGACAGTATCATATTATACCTGGGATTTCTCTTTTTATTCTGTGATTACTTTGTTATTTTACTTTTTCCATTCTATTTGTATTTTGATCATGAACATGATCACTTAGTGTTTCAAGCGAGGATTTTTGGAAATCAGAATTCCCATGGATATGTATTACTAGTACATTGAATGTTTTGCATGTACATGTATTGAATATATTGACTTAAATAAGAGACTTCTTAACATAGGAATTGATTAATGGCAAGTCAATAGCTTATTACCCCTTCCCTGTCTTTTATTATTGTTAGATTTTGCCATTATCTATAGTTCTCTAGTGTATTGTATATATAGTATAGTTTATATATTGGATTTTCTTGTACTGACATGCCCTAAGGCCTAACAGACATCAAATAGTTTACAAAAATCTAAAAATAAAATCTAATAATTCTTACTTATACCGATGGGGTAATGTTTCCTGTCTGTTGTCAAGGAAACGGGATGTATGGTATATGGTTGTCATTGCAATAATCACTATGAGATTAAACAATCAATAAGATTCTCTAAGTAGAATATTTGTAGGCCAATTGCCTCACTAACTACGTCATTCTTCAAATTATATTCTCAGAATCTTTTGTGTGACGTATTTCCAATGTATAATAGTGTGGGTGTTGGGGACATATGTTGCGTTTGGGGTTTCACTTTATACAGATAAAGTATGAATCAAAAATTTGTTTTTCTAAAATAGTCAGTGTTATGTTTTAATCAAAATAGCTTCATGTAATATTTGTTGTCAAATGAGTGGCAGTAAAACCTGGCAAAGTGGAACACCTTTGGCATCCCTTGAAAGTGTTCCACTTGGAAGGTGTTCCACTTATAGAGGTTCAATGAACATTCAGTTTTTTGTCTTGGGTCTCTGAAAAGATTTCCACTTACAGAGGTGTTCCACTTTACAGGTTTCACTGATAGTCAATCTACAACTACTGTATGATACTCCGATTTCAAAGTGTAGATGGGGGCAAATTTCTTTGAAATATTTAACTGAGGAAAGATAAAAACTAGGACTCTTGACTAAATATGTCAATTTAGGAATTGTTGCTCTTCTTCTCTACAAGCTTAATTAAGCATTGATGAATCAATAAGGTATTATTGAATCTTATATCCCATCATGAATCTTGATTAAACATATGGCTGTGTATTTTCAGATTGTCTTGATGTCCAGGGACTACAATGCATTGACTATGAGTGTCATGGCCTTTGTGTCCATGCTGTACCCATTGGAGTACATGTTCCCAATATAAATCTTAACGTATGGCTATGTATTTTCAGATTGTCTTGATGTCCAGGGACTACAATGCATTGACTATGAGTGTCATGGCCTTTGTGTCTATGCTGTACCCATTGGAGTACATGTTCCCAATATAAGTCTTAACGTATGGCTATGTATTTTCAGATTGTCTTGATGTCCAGGGACTACAATGCATTGACTATGAGTGTCATGGCCTTTGTGTCCATGCTGTACCCATTGGAGTACATGTTCCCAATATAAATCTTAACGTATGGCTATGTATTTTCAGATTGTCTTGATGTCCAGGGACTACAATGCATTGACTATGAGTGTCATGGCCTTTGTGTCTATGCTGTACCCATTGGAGTACATGTTCCCAATATAAGTCTTAACGTATGGCTATGTATTTTCAGATTGTCTTGATGTCCAGGGACTACAATGCATTGACTATGAGTGTCATGGCCTTTGTGTCCATGCTGTACCCATTGGAGTACATGTTCCCAATATAAATCTTAACGTATGGCTATGTATTTTCAGATTGTCTTGATGTCCAGGGACTACAATGCATTGACTATGAGTGTCATGGCCTTTGTGTCTATGCTGTACCCATTGGAGTACATGTTCCCAATATAAGTCTTAACGTATGGCTATGTATTTTCAGATTGTCTTGATGTCCAGGGACTACAATGCATTGACTATGAGTGTCATGGCCTTTGTGTCTATGCTGTACCCATTGGAGTACATGTTCCCAATATAAGTCTTAACGTATGGCTATGTATTTTCAGATTGTCTTGATGTCCAGGGACTACAATGCATTGACTATGAGTGTCATGGCCTTTGTGTCTATGCTGTACCCATTGGAGTACATGTTCCCAATATAAATCTTAACGTATGGCTATGTATTTTCAGATTGTCTTGATGTCCAGGGACTACAATGCATTGACTATGAGTGTCATGGCCTTTGTGTCCATGCTGTACCCATTGGAGTACATGTTCCCAATATAAATCTTAACGTATGGCTATGTATTTTCAGATTGTCTTGATGTCCAGGGACTACAATGCATTGACTATGAGTGTCATGGCCTTTGTGTCTATGCTGTACCCATTGGAGTACATGTTCCCAATATAAATCTTAACGTATGGCTATGTATTTTCAGATTGTCTTGATGTCCAGGGACTACAATGCATTGACTATGAGTGTCATGGCCTTTGTGTCCATGCTGTACCCATTGGAGTACATGTTCCCAGTCATTCCACTACTTCCAACATGTATGTCTTCAGCAGAACAGGTGAGAAAGACAAACATCCTTTTGTTTTGATGCAACATCTCTGAGTAGAAACTAAAGCCTGTCATATAAAGAGACAAACCTTTCTCCCATATGAGTCAACCTCTTTTCTCTGTCCCACTAGAACATAAAAATGTAGAAATCAAGGACATTATTTCAGTATGAATGGTTGCCTTGTTCTACTTAAGATGACTTTACAATGTTGAACGTATTTGCATCCTCCAAACAGCACTACACAGCTGTTTCAAGATATTCTGATTCTCCAGAAGCCCTCTGGTTGGAGGATGACTATTTATAAATTGTTGTTTTTCAGTTACTTCTAGCGCCAACTCCTTATATCATCGGCGTCCCAGCTAGTTTCTTCCTCTACAAGAAGGGGTTCAGGGTACCCGATGACGTGTGGTTGGTCGATTTAGACTCAAATAAGGTAATTATTATATGATGAAAAGCGAAATCTCAATGAAACATAACAAGAGTCAATGAAAAAGTTATATTCGAATACTTGAAGAAAGATATTGGCTCCAAAATTCCCCAAAACTCAATCCCATGATGATAGAGTTAAAGTTCTTTGACTCCAAGTGATACTTCAATTTGTTGCTCAAAGAACTTTAACTTAAAGAAACATCTCAACAATTTTAAAGCCGAAGACATTGTAGGGCACAAAGAGTTCTTAATGACAACAGGTGATACTTCAATTTTTTGCCAGAAGTACTTCAACTTAATTGAACTCGTGCTCAGAAGGGTTGAGTGTCATTTTCTGTATACATTGATCAGTAGTATGTTGAGTTAATAAAACATCTACTGTAATCTATTGTAATGGACTAAGCTAAAAGATAAGGTCATTGTATGAATTTATGCCCACTCATAGAATTATGTTTGTGTGAGATGATGTGTCCTTTGAGTTTTGTTAGTGTATTAAAGTAGTTGACGCTTTAAATTGAAAAAAATCAATGAAGATTTAATTGTTACAAATTTGGAGGGATGTGTCCATCATTCCCTTAAATATGGAGGTTGTCTAAAATATACTGTGGCAATTCCTTAAAGAATAATTTTGAACTAAAAGCAAGTTATTTTCTTGTTTATGATAATTTACACAAAACTGACAATTTTTTAGATTTAATTACCTCTGGGGGCAGATGAACTCCCCCTCAATGCCACTTTAAAACAAAACATTTTACTGCACCCAGAATAACCAAAAATGACAATTAACACAAAACTAACTACTTTTCAGATCCAAGTGCCTCGAGGGGCAGATGAACTCCCATCAATGCCAGAGCCCGAGCTGTCCATCTTGAAGAATCACTTGAAGCAGGCACTGGCGAGCATGTGTATGAGTCCACAGCCAATCAAAAACCTTGATGCCCTTACCCAGAATCCCGACAGCTGGCAGCGCAAAGATAACTTCACATCCCCAATGACAGGCTTCAATCCTCTCATTTATGGAAATGATGTGGATTCTGTTGATATAGCAACAAGGGTTGCCATGGTAAGTTCAACAATATTGATATCGGGTTTTAGTAGGAATTCGCAGGTGTAGGTTTCCAGGCATTAAAAATGTTCTAGGTAGAACATGGACAGGCATGATAAAAGTGTAATTATGTAGATTCTTTTGATTTAGCAACCAGTGTTACCAGTGTTACCATGGTAAGATGTCTAATATTGATATCAGGTAGTTAAATAGATCACTTAATTGCTGCAAGTTTCCAGACATAAAAATTGAACTATATAGAAAGAGAGAAGTTGAATGAACTGCATAACGAGACTCATTAGCTGAGTGGTAATATGTCAAAAGCTTTTGTTTTATCTGCTTGTTGCGGTGAACCTTCTGTCTCATATTACTTGATGGCCTATAATGCCTTAAAGAACTATCAGTAGTATGAGCAACCTTGCATTTCTGTTGTGACATGTGAATAATTGTGTTCCTATTTCTAATTCTAGGTGAGATTTTTCAACTCTCCGAACATCCTTTGTAACTTCACAGAGCACACTCGCACACTGAGGCTTTACCCAAGACCTGTTGTAGCATTCCAAACAAACAGCTTCCTCAAGTCGCGTGTTAATCGCACAATGTTCACTGCAAAGCTAGCTCGCACACAGGTATGTGAAATAGATCCAAATGTTATTTATTCAGGCCATATTACAATTGCTAAGGTCTTTTACTGTGATAAAGCTACTGCCCAATATACCTCCGTCTGTAATAAGCATCCTCGGTGAGATCACTTGTGAGTAATGTTTTTTTTATGATATAAGTAAGATCAACTGATGTTAAAGGATTTCACATATGATGTGGATTAATTATATCTGGAGCTTTACAGACTTATCGCAATGCCACAATTCCAAGTCGTCTTGAAGTCTCCACAATGGGGGGGGGGGTTCTGGTAATCAGAATGTCTCAGTCATGACATCATGATTTATGACTATTTTTATTTGTCATTTGTTTCTTTGGTAACTAAGGAACTTGTTCTGACTTCACCACATAGTGTTTTGAATCAAACTTGACTAGTTCTACACGCATGATTTTTATTAGAAAATGTTAATCTTAATACATTTTATCAAATCTTTTTCAGGCAGTGGAGTACTACGCAGAATGGGCACTATGTCCAAAGAAGGTTGTCTACCTCAGAGTCCAAACAGGTGTATTTGATCCCCTTCTTATAGGAGACAAGCCTAAATGGTACAGTAACCAGCTCCAAACTGTCCACTTCAAGACATATGATGAATTCAGTACACTGGCTGCAGCCATTACAGCTAAGAATGACAACAATCTAAGTGATGAAAACCCAACTGATGAAAGCGGCTCTGATAGCGATGGAGCTCTCAGTAGCAGTTCATCCTATTCAAGTCTCGGGGATTTTGTCACGGATATTGTTAATAGTGATATTAATGGGGACACCCCTGATATTTATGTTGGGGGACAGGCTTTAACCATTGATGAATCGAGTGTGTTTTGTCCCCCGAGGGTATTACAGCTTCCCGATGGTTCGATGAGTACCAGCGACTCGGCATATAGTCAGCAAGATAGTGATTCTTCACGTTCCTCAAGTCCTGTTTATGCCACAGAGACGTCAAATGTAAGGCCTGATTCTCCAACTGTGACACCAAACACTGACATCTTCAACTATGACACCTCCATTGTGACACCTACAGTTCAGCAACTTGGAAGGTAAGGGAACAGAATATCATTGTTATTTTGAAAATGGAATGAAGGCCCAGATTCTCTCTTATTATCCCACTTTGAAAAGGTGCTATGTCTTCATCTTCTGCTGCTTGATATATGTGTCTGAGCAACTTAACTTATTTCCACAAACATTATTAACATTTAAGTACCATTATCACTTATCAGCCACTTTATAACCAAACCTTTTACTGGCCCCTTTTAACTAATTACTAAAAAATGACAAAATTGATATGATATGTTACTGTTTTTAACCTTATGGTTTAAGGAACCATATATACTACACTCGGGACTTTGATGATTTTTTTATATTGTATTAAAAAAACTTCGTGTATTTATACAGGACATCTCAGAGCATAATTCTAACATTTGAGTGGAAAATTGCATTCCTTGTTTTGATAACATTTTTATTCATCTTTTTGTAATATCCCATATTTCCCATAAGGTTTGATGTCACAGGGACCTGTCATCTTTTTATTATCAAGGAAATCCAATTTTGGGAATAATCTAGGCAATTTTGAAACGGAGATTGAATCTCTTTGATACTGCATACATTGCTTCTGTCCAAATAGCTCGTCAATCAAAATCTTGAATACTAAAATCTAAATCCACTAAATCCACTTATTGTGTTCAATGTTGGAAATAATTTTAATCTTAGCCATTGTCAAAGTCTATCATAATACAATCTTCTTTTTAGATGTAATGTGTTAATAAAACTTCAGTTGAGATTATATCTAAGAAAATAACTATTTTAAGGTGTTATTCTAACCTTTAGTTATATTGCAAATCTATTTGTTATGTTCCTATTTCCTTTCCAGATCTGACAGTCGCGTCAGCCAATCAAGCAAACTAGACAGCCCCTCTCCTAAGACCCCTCCCCCCAGACCTGCCCCTCCTGTGCTTCGCAGCCAGAACTCCGCATTTGATAATGTCACCCCCAGAGACCCCAGTTTGGCCCCTGAGATTCAGAGACAAGGCAGTGTGTCACCTCTCCCTCAATCCAGGCGTGGCCCAGGCTCTAGAGCAAACAGTCGAGACGGGGAAAGACCCGACACACCAAACTCACTGATATCAAACCTCAGTAGTGAACTGACAGACGTTGCTCAGGCAGCTAGCTCCACATTCTCAGACTTGTTTGGTAAGTCATTTTCAGAAAAAAATAATTTTAGAGGATTTCAAAACTTCATATCAATAATACTCTATTCCTATGTTCCCATGTTATGGGTGGTATCCATGGTTAAGAACCCTTCGCCCTTCACTGTGACTTTGTGACTACCATACAGCACCCAAAATTTCAGAAATTCAGAATTGATCAAATGGTACATCCCCTTAACAAAGCTATCATACCATATGCCCATAATCACTAGGATACTACCCATGCTGTTGTGTATTAAAACATACTATGAAATTTCAGGGTCGGGTGCTTTTATTTAACCTAAAGTAAACCAGATTTTGATTTTGAATTAAATTAATTCTATTATATACATGTACTCTCTAACCATGTGGCTTTGGTAAATCTTAAATGTTAACTATGAAATTCTTGAGCAAACCGGCTTTTCCTATCATATATACTTAACGCAAGCTGCCCTCTTTAAACTCTAGCATTTATGTTTTCTTTACATTTTTTTATTATTGAATAATGTAAAATTGTTCATTGTCCTTCCCTGAGTGCGCTTATTTTCTCTTTAATGCTCCATATAATAGGTGGTGTTAAGGGCGGGGTCACTGATATAGGTGATAAGTGGGACCGCACGGAAATGTCCAAGAAAATGTCTTCAGTCACTCAGAAGATGTCAACTGTGACGGATAAAATGTCAAATGTGACAGATAAGATGTCAACTGTGTCAGAAAAGATGTCAAATGTGACAGATAAGGTGTCATCTCATGTCAACCAAACAGTGCCATCTATGGGTGCTGTGAAACATCGCCAAGAAGGTAGATGGTTGTCCTTTGTGTTGCATGTTTCTTTCATTAGTAGACCACTCTCCTAATAGTAGCCCATGTTCCACATTCTAGTAGAATATCGTAATAGAACACTTTTTCCTTCATAAAAGTATATTTAGGTAGTGAACTTTTAGTAACTATACCCAAGAACTGTCCCACTAAATGCCTACTAAATGCCTACTAAATGCCCACACCTACCAATTTTCAAATAGCATCCTCACCCAATAGAAGCCCTTTTCCTTATAGAATCCCATTATCTAATAATACCCCACTTACCTTATGATAGCCCCCTATACATTTATGAATATAGGAGCCTTTAGAATTTCTATAGTTCTACTTAAGGGCACTTGAACTAGTAATAACTGTGAATCCTTGACTTATTCAAGGTGTGCTTCGATATATTGTATTTTCTTAGCATTTAGATTGCTTTCTTCAGTTTGACATTTTCTCCATGCTTGTGCAAACAGTTTTAACAAATTCATATTTTTACTAACATATTTCTTAGCACTATTAATCACTCCTCTAGTACTCCACATACCATTCAGGATACAGCGATTTCCATTTTACAATTTAGCTTGAATATCACTTTTATTGTAAAATGAAGTTTAACCATTTTTGCCCAAATTCACATTTGGATTCATTTTACATAAAACATATTGATTTGCCATCAATAATGTTTTAGGTAAAATTGCTTCATATAGAGTATTATATAGACCTTAAGTATTAAGTATTGAAGTTTGTACTTATCATTTAATATGCACAGGCAGTTCTCTATACTGTATATTTTAATTGCAATGTTTTTGTGGTGTTTTCATATGATTCATATTGCTTTGCCACATCTCATTGTGCAATGTAAATTACTGAGTTACACGGAACTACACATATGTTAATTTTAGCATACAGGGTGTTCATACATACCTGGAAATACCAGGGAAATGTATTTATTTTTCCAGCACCTAGAAATGTTAAGGAATTTTGGAATTCAAATACAAGGGAACAAAAAATATTTGGAACTTCGTTCACAATTTGTGTCTGGGAGATTGTCTGGAAAGTATTCTATCTGATAAAGTTATTTTTAAGTTATACGGTCTATGGAGGTTATGCAAAACATTTTAGAAATAAAAATATTCGCCTGGAAATGTTAATGAAATGTCAGAGTATTCCATTTCCTTAGGTTATAGAAACCTTGACATTTCAAATGCAATGTATGCTATTAAGTTCATATAGCATATGTGGCAGCATTTAGTTATGATTCGAAAAAAATTAGGAGATGGGAATAATTCTATTAGTAGCTGGAAACCTATATAGAATTTTAATTTTTGGGCTTTATTTTCTATGTCAATTGAAAGTCCTACCATTCATATTTATATACAGTGAAACCTGTAAAGTGGAACACCTCTCTTAGTGGAACACTGTTAGTGGAACACTTCAGAGTCCCAAGACCAACTGATTGAGTATTAAATTAACCTCTATAAGTGGAACACCTCTGTTAGTGGAACACTTCAGAGTCCCAAGACCAACTGATTGAGTATTAAATGAACCTCTGTAAGTAGAACACCTCCAGAGTGGAACACTTTTTAGAGGTACTAAAGGTGTTCAACTTGGATTGGTTTCACTGTACAATGTACACTTGGTTTTCATGAAGCATTCTTGTCTTATTCTTATTTCTATTCATGTCAATCTTGTAGCATTTCTATAGGCAGTGGATATTGATTAAACCAAAATAGAAATTTATTCAGGACATCTGGGAAGTGTTGCAATTTTGAATTCAATTAACTCTCCAGATGTTTTTACAATATTAACATATGAGGAAGTATTACATACCTAGTGAAGCATTTGTGGAAGTCAATGGCAAAGTTAGCGAGCTATATCCACCGATATTGCCCGATTACCCCGATATAGCCCGCTTACCTCGTTTTGATATTAGATTTCTTTAATAACCATGATAATATCATGACGTCACGTCATTGATACAAAGTAACCATGGGAACAAAGGCATGTAATACATCAGTTATGTCACTATGACGTGAAATATGCCTTCGTTCTTGCCCAAATATAGAGCCTCCCAAGGTCGGCCTATATTGGGAGAACTCAGGCATATTTCACGTCATAGTGACATAACCTCTAAGTATTACATACCTAACGAAGCATTTGTGTATGGAAGTCAATGGAGCTGAAGGTCGGCTATATATTCCTGTATAGCCGCCAAACTTTTTACCATGACAATCTTATGACCTATGTTTCATTTCTTCCAAATTTCACTCGCACACAGACGTGTGACGTCATTGATATAACATGGCCATGGAAATAAAGGTATGTAGTACAACATGGCAAACCTCAGGCATATATTCAACGATAGGGACATAACTGGTAAATATATTTTGAAACCCTGACATTCACAATTTCATTTACTGTTCATCATTTATGTTTAAAGGGACACTCTCTTTGTTATTAGATATTATTTATTGAAATCTATGCAATCCTAAAATTTACACTGTACAGAGGCTGATAGAATTTGAATCTCTAAAACTCAATTTTCAGAAAATTGTTTCCTTTGAAATCATGATGAATAAATATTTTTTAGATACATTGACTTTTATTACTGTTGAATATTCATCAATGGTTTCTGAAATGTTCCTGAGTAAAGTGATTTGTGTCTTTTTTCCATGTATTAGTGTAAATTACAGGGATATGCAATTTTATTTATTTTTGTTAATCAAGTAATGTCTAGTAAGAGGAAGTGCCCCTTTATTTACTTGATATAATTTATTGTTTATTTGCTTGTAGTCCCTGGACAAGGCCAAGGTTCCAGTAACCATAGCAGTCCGAGTCCATCTCTACGCAATGCAAAACCCTTTGCCCCTCTAGGTATGTAAATATTACATTTCTGTTCAACGCAAAACCCTTTGCCCCTCTAGGTATGTAAAAATTACATTTCTGTTCAATGCAAACCCTTTGCCCCAATACAAGTTAATCCTGTGTGTCCATGTATTTAAACGGAATAATTTGATCTGATTTGAATTTTACCCATAAACCTTTCTATCACCTGGGCTTTTAGTCTCATATTATCCTATTGAAAATCAGTTACTCTAATTTTTTCTGTGTTGCTCTTTTTGTCAAAATTATACAATTATGATGATTAAATACTAGGCAGTAAGTATAGGAAGTGCTAAAAGTATTCAGAAGAAGTTGCAAGGCCCCTGTGGAGAAATTGTGCCTCATTATGTTAAGCGTTTCATTTTAGGTAGTCCATAGTGGATAAATCAGGCCAATTGTTGACTGTGAGCATTGTTGTTTCAGGTATTCACAAGGCCCTTGTGGAGAAGTCAGGCCTATCAACATTGTACATTGTTGCTTCACTCTATTAACATTGTACATTGTTGCTTCACTCTATTAACATTGTATATTGTTGTTTCAGGTAGTCGTAAGGCCCTTGTGGAGAAGTCAGGCCTAGTAAAGCATGCCAGTAGTAGAAAACAACAGCAGCAGAAACAAGCAACAATGGACAGAACTAATGTCAACAGGTACCTTATAAGTAATTGCTCAATTCGTATCCTGTTGATTTTCTATCTGATCTGATTTTGAAAATACTTGTCTTTTAGCTTTAATATATCTCTATAACTCTTGTTGAATGTGAGTACATGAATCTAAGCGCAGCATATCACCTCAAATTGTATGAATATTAGTACAAAAGGCTTGCAACTTAAAGCCAATACTGCCAATGGCAATCACTTTTCACTCTTACCAATGCACTTGGAAAAATCAAGTTGCCTATTTGACAATGTACTAAATTCCTATATGGTGAATTGTGGCAATCACTTTTCACTCTTGCCAATGAACTTGGAAAAATCTAGTCGCCTATTTGACAATGTACTAAATTCCTATATGGTGAATTGTGGCAATCACTTTTCACTCTTGCCAATGAACTTGGAAAAATCTAGTTGCCTATTTGACAATGCACTAAATTCCTATATGGTGAATTGTGGCAATCACTTTTCACTCTTACCAATCAACTTTGAAAAATCTAGTTGCCTATTGTGGCAATCACTTTTCACTCTTGCCAATGAACTTGGAAAAATCTAGTTGCCTATTTGACAATGTACTAAATTCCTATATGGTGAATTGTGGCAATCACTTTTCACTCTTGCCAATGAACTTGGAAAAATCTAGTTGCCTATTTGACAATGTACTAAATTCCTATATGGTGAATTGTGGCAATCACTTTTCACTCTTGCCAATGAACTTGAAAAATCTAGTTGCCTATTTGGCAGTGCACTAAATTCCTATATGGTGAATTGTGGCAATCACTTTTCACTCTTGCCAATCAACTTTGAAAAATCTAGTTGCCTATTTGGCAGTGCACTAAATTCCTATATGGTGAATTGTGGCAATCACTTTTCACTCTTACCAATCAACTTTGAAAAATCTAGTTGCATATTTGACAATGCACTAAATTCCTATATGGTGAATTGTGGCAATCACTTTTCACTCTTGCCAATGAACTTGGAAAAATCTAGTTGCCTATTTGACAATGTACTAAATTCCTATATGGTGAATTGTGGCAATCACTTTTCACTCTTGCCAATGAACTTGGAAAAATCTAGTTGCCTATTTGGCAATGCACTAAATTCCTATATGGTGAATTGTGGCAATCACTTTTCACTCTTGCCAATGAACTTGGAAAAATCTAGTTGCCTATTTGGCAATGCACTAAATTCCTATATGGTGAATTGTGGCAATCACTTTTCACTCTTGCCAATGAACTTGGAAAAATCTAGTTGCCTATTTGGCAATGCACTAAATTCCTATATGGTGAATTGTGGCAATCACTTTTCACTCTTGCCAATGAACTTGGAAAAATCTAGTTGCCTATTTGACAATGTACTAAATTCCTATATGGTGAATTGTGGCAATCACTTTTCACTCTTGCCAATGAACTTGGAAAAATCTAGTTGCCTATTTGACAATGTACTAAATTCCTATATGGTGAATTGTGGCAATCACTTTTCACTCTTGCCAATGAACTTGGAAAAATCTAGTTGTCTATTTGACAATGTACTAAATTCCTATATGGTGAATTGTGACAATCACTTTTCACTCTTGCCAATGAACTTGGAAAAATCTAGTTGCCTATTTGGCAATGCACTAAATTCTCATATGGTGAATTGTGGCAATCACTTTTCACTCTTGCCAATGAACTTGGAAAAATCTAGTTGCCTATTTGACAATGTACTAAATTCCTATATGGTGAATTGTGGCAATCACTTTTCACTCTTGCCAATGAACTTGGAAAAATCTAGTTGCCTATTTGACAATGTACTAAATTCCTATATGGTGAATTGTGGCAATCACTTTTCACTCTTGCCAATGAACTTGGAAAAATCTAGTTGCCTATTTGGCAATGCACTAAATTCCTATATGGTGAATTGTGGCAATCACTTTTCCCTCTTGCCAATGAACTTGAAAAAATCTAGTTGCCTATTTGACAATGTACTAAATTCCTATATGGTGAATTGTGGCAATCACTTTTCACTCTTGCCAATGAACTTGGAAAAATCTAGTTGCCTATTTGACAATGTACTAAATTCCTATATGGTGAATTGTGGCAATCACTTTTCACTCTTGCCAATGAACTTGGAAAAATCTAGTTGTCTATTTGACAATGTACTAAATTCCTATATGGTGAATTGTGGCAATCACTTTTCACTCTTGCCAATGAACTTGGAAAAATCTAGTTGCCTATTTGACAATGTACTAAATTCCTATATGGTGAATTGTGGCAATCACTTTTCACTCTTGCCAATGAACTTGGAAAAATCTAGTTGCCTATTTGGCAGTGCACTAAATTCCTATATGGTGAATTGTGGCAATCACTTTTCACTCTTGCCAATGAACTTGGAAAAATCTAGTTGCCTATTTGACAATGTACTAAATTCCTATATGGTGAATTGTGGCAATCACTTTTCACTCTTGCCAATTGTAACGTTCTATAAAGTCGGTCAATGTAGTTACATAAAGCATTGGGTTTAGTAATATAATATATATTTAATTAAGACAAACATAAGGTATATATGATCATTATCTTGATATGTTACTACTCAAGAGTCTCCATTTTAGGTTCAATACTTTAATGGTACATAGTTTACACTATCAAAATACCAGTGTCATATAAAATACTGCATGGCACTATAACATCACCACACTATGTTGATGGCATGTTGTCACTGCATGGCTCCCACTGCATGTACTGTGAGAGTCCCACTACGCTGAATAATACACATGCTGAATAACGGCTTTGTCCCACTTTGCTGAATAATACACGTTGCTGAATAACGGCATTGTCTCAGATATATGTCTTCTAGGTCACACTAAGAACGCCACTTGATATCAAAAGCATGAACGCCATTCAATCAGTCTCTGTATAAGCACATAGGCAACAACACAACACATAAGCACCTCACAGGGCTGCTGGGTTCGGGTTTGTTTAGACCCTTTTCAAACTATGATCACCAGATGTTGAAATGATGTGGAACAAGAGCTTTCAATAACATTTATACTTAGTGGAAATACCTGAGTTGAGTAATACGTTCAATACTTGACCAATCAGATAATATGTACAGTGAAATCAAAATTACAAATTACAATTATAACATGAGCTGTCCAGCATGTTGGACTCACTCCAAAATACAATAATACAATATGAATAACACAAGCTGTTCGATTGCAGTGACAATTATTGTTTCTTAAGGTTGATTATAACCTGAACAAACTGCAAAATGATGTGAAAGCATGCCCAAATTATGACACCAATGAACTTGGAAAAATCTAGTTGCCTATTTTGCAATGCACTAAATTCCTATATGGTGAATTGTGGCAATCACTTTTCACTCTTGCCAATGAACTTGAAAAAGTCTAGTTGCCTATTTGGCAATGCACTGAATTCCTATATGGTGAATTGTGGCAATCACGTTTCACTCTTGCCAATGAACTTGGAAAAATCTAGTTGCCTATTTGACAATGCACTAAATTCCTATATGGTGAATTGTGGCAATCACTTTTCACTCTTACCAATCAACTTTGAAAAATCTAGTTGCCTATTGTGGCAATCACTTTTCACTCTTGCCAATGAACTTGGAAAAATCTAGTTGCCTATTTGACAATGTACTAAATTCCTATATGGTGAATTGTGGCAATCACTTTTCACTCTTGCCAATGAACTTGGAAAAATCTAGTTGCCTATTTGACAATGTACTAAATTCCTATATGGTGAATTGTGGCAATCACTTTTCACTCTTGCCAATGAACTTGGAAAAATCTAGTTGCCTATTTGGCAATGCACTAAATTCCTATATGGTGAATTGTGGCAATCACTTTTCCCTCTTGCCAATGAACTTGAAAAAATCTAGTTGCCTATTTGACAATGTACTAAATTCCTATATGGTGAATTGTGGCAATCACTTTTCACTCTTGCCAATGAACTTGGAAAAATCTAGTTGCCTATTTTGCAATGCACTAAATTCCTATATGGTGAATTGTGGCAATCACTTTTCCCTCTTGCCAATGAACTTGAAAAAATCTAGTTGCCTATTTGGCAATGCACTAAATTCCTATATGGTGAATTGTGGCAATCACTTTTCACTCTTACCAATCAACTTTGAAAAATCTAGTTGCCTATTGTGGCAATCACTTTTCACTCTTGCCAATGAACTTGGAAAAATCTAGTTGCCTATTTGGCAATGCACTAAATTCTCATATGGTGAATTGTGGCAATCACTTTTCACTCTTGCCAATGAACTTGGAAAAATCTAGTTGCCTATTTGACAATGTACTAAATTCCTATATGGTGAATTGTGGCAATCACTTTTCACTCTTGCCAATGAACTTGGAAAAATCTAGTTGCCTATTTGGCAATGCACTAAATTCTCATATGGTGAATTGTGGTAATCATGTTTTCATTCTCATTGGTAATCCCTCTTAGTGCACAATTGGTTATAAAAAGGATATATTTCTTAATTTTCAGTGAGAACCAGCAATTCCTGAAGGAAGTCCTGAATGGCGTCATGGAAGGGCAAGGAGTCAGCTGGTGGAAGCTGTCTAAAGTGAAGAAATTAATGGAAGATGAAAATTACAGAGCTTTTGTTGTTAGTCGGCTTAACACATCACTTGATAAGAAATTAACAGATGAAGACGCTCATCTTGAAGATGTGGTGAGTAGCCATGATACCTTGAGATCCTTTGGGCCTTGAGATCCTTTAGGGCCTTGAGATCATTTGGGCCTTTAGATCATTTGGGCCTTTAGATCATTTGGGCCTTGAGATCCTTTAGGGCCTTGAGATCATTTAGGGACTTGAGATCATTTAGGGCCTTGAGATCATTTAGGGCCTTGAGATCATTTAGGGCCTTTAGATCATTTGGGCCTTGAGATCCTTTAGGGCCTTGAGATCATTTAGGGCCTTATTGGTCATTTAGTGCCTAAATGTACCTTTAGTGCCTTGTACCTTTAGTGCCTTGTGTATCCTTTAAGGCCTTTAGATACTTCAGTGACTTCAGATCCTTGTGTCTTGATGATAATATTCATTTGAATAATGCTGTTTCTTACTTCAATCTGATGTGTATTTGAATAGGGCTATTGATAAGTATGGGGGACCATCTCAAATGGGCGATTTTTCTTTATGCAATACATTTATGATTCTAACCATTCTCTCATTGCAGCAAGTCACCAGATCTGTTTTCAAAGGTATCCTGGCCATTCTGAAAGCTGTCATCACTGGTCTAGAGCACACCTACCAGAACCAGGGACTTGGAGGCATGGCCAGTATGCTGATGGTCCTTGAGATAGCACATACACACTACTGGCTGAAGGAAGTTGGGGGAAGTAATAGGAGTGATCACAGTGGTACTTCTCAGGTTAGTCCTGTGCTGCTTCAACTCTGGAAGCAATTTTATTGTACTTTGTTTTGCTTCTTTATTGTTGTGATAATGAGCATGCATATGTATGGATGGGTGGGCAATTGCAATTTCAATCTTGTCATCGGAATTCCAGGAAAACCTCTTCGAAGAGTTTTGTACCAAAGTGAAGTTTTGGATCATTATAATGAATTTAAAACAATTCGAGAGGATAGTTCCTAAGTGTTGTTCAATATTATTTATAAAATATAAAGTTATAAAAGTTTTACTATGAAATGTAGTCATTTAGTTCAATTTTCCAGACGAGTTCTCCATTTGGTAGTCGAGAGAGTCTTCGCAGTGATGACTTGTTGTCCCCACAGAAATCAGAGGGGAAAGTCCTAGAAACACCAGACCACCAGGAGAAACTTGTCCCATCTATAGGTGAGCAAGGAAATAGTCTCATTCTGGATGTTTATTTATTTATAAATGCATTTGTTGCAGCTTGAAGCCCAATCTTGGATTGGAATGATGTTAGCTTTTTATGCGAAATCTGTTTGTATAGTTATATTTGATAGGTTCATATACAAGGGAGGGAGTAATTTCCCAGAAGGCACCTTTGTTTCTCTTAAAAGGGAGAATCTCGAGGCACTCTCCAAAAATATGCTCAATCTTTGAATCATTTGGGCCTGTGGCATTCATCTTCATGGCTTGATTAGCAATAGGAAACAATCTAGAATTTGCATTTCATGATCTTGGAACCGTTTGAGGAATGAATTATAAATTAAGCAAATTCAAATCTTTCATAAAGTCCTGAGCATCAACATCCATTTTAATTTCTACAGCAGGTCCCCAAGCTGGTGGTGTAAGATCTGCCAGTACAAGTAGTTCCACAGTGTCATCTCCAGGCTTTGTGAATCCCCTTCATTTTAACATACCACATGGTCTTTCATCATCAAGTACCAGCACTGAATCTGGAGGCAAGTCACTCCACAGGACACTCTCTCCCATGATTCTCTCTGCTGCTTATCTCACCTGTTTTAGCCAATCGAAATTGAAAGAACTAATAGAGCTTAGTGTATGTTTGGATCGATGAGTTTTGATCACTTCCGACTATTTATGATTTCTAGATTGAAGAGAGTGATTTAACTTTGCTGCTTTATATCAAACAGTTTTGAAAAATAGTCTAATTTTACCACACTAGAATTCAATTTTTTCATCAACGCCATTGAGAATTGTTTAAGATGAGTGAGGTTCCTAAGGATCATGGGAAGGGAGGACCTGCTCTGAGTGTCAATGTTGTTTCATCCTCGTTGTGTCCGCATTCCATGAATGTCTGCATGTCATGAGAAATACCATGAATAAATGATGAAATTATGAAAAAGATAAGAAAAAATATAAAAAAGAAAAAATATGAAATGATAAAAATATGCTAAACATATGTTAAAAGCTCATATAAGAATATTGAATTTATCCTTGAAAAAAGATTGATAAATCTTGTAGTCTGTAGTCGAGTTTGTATATTTTATGTTAAACATTTTCAAACTTTCAGAATTCATTGTTAAGAACTGTGCCATTGGAGAATTTCATTTATTCTTTTTTCATGATGAGTATTTTGAAGGGTTTTGAGATTTTATCACTTTTCATAAAATTTCTTATTTTTTCATGGCATTTTCCAACTAGATGTGACAGCCAGTTATAATAAGTGGTGTGAATGTCATAAAATGACATTAGCATCTATGCCCTTTATACATTCATTTACAGCAAAATATAAAAGTGATAGTGAACACCTCTCTCAACTGACCTTGTGTTATGTTATAATGGAGATGTTGATCTTACTAACTTGCAATGTGCAATGTCTCATATAATTTTGCATGACTTTATAAATGTCTGGGAGCATTTCATAAGTTCATTGGGAATATCCACTCTGCTTGCCACTGCAATGAAATTTGTTGAAGATAGCAATGAAAAACAAATACAGTAAAACCTGTATATCTGAACACCTCCCTATGTGAACACTTTCTCTCAGTCCCAATTTTGTAATCTCCCATTGACAACCTTGTTAAAGTAATAGCGCAGTCAGATGTCCAGAAATGAGCCCTTTATAGTTCGACTTTTTCAGGAAAGCAACAAACTTGGCACAGTTGTAGAAACACTTGATCTGAGTGGAAAATGATTTCGGGGCAAGTGATCCGGAGTGGTCTTCATGGATTTTTTAGTCTCTGACCCCAACCCCTATCAGGCGGGGAGGGGGTACATTATAAAAAATAAATAAAAATGGTTGTGAAGTAATTTTTTTTAAATGACTTCATTTGGTGATTGCTCTGAGCCTTGAAATTGAGACAAACCGATTGTAGATGTGGTGTTTAGTGTGGAAAATGCATTTTGACCCAATTATCTAGCGTGAATTCATCTTTTAAAGGGTCAAATTTGGGACATCAAGTACTGTATTTCAAGAATGTGATGTCTGATCATCTTGGAAAAATTCATACTAATAGGGGTATAAGTGTTCATCACAAATATAGAATATGGCTTGGGTAGCTCATGTATTTTTTGAGATAAAAATTATCGAAATTTGAATTTTTAAGCCCTTGCGACCTAGGGGTAACCTTATTCTACCTAAATAATTTTTAAGATATGCAATGTATGGGTCTCATATGAGCTCAAAATGGTGCATTGAGTCTTGTTTTGTCATATTATTCCTAATTGGATTGAAAAATGATTGGAACTTTCTTTGAAAAAAAAAAATTTCATTATCACTTCTGAAGGGCCAGGGGTAACCATATTTTACCTTAATAACTTTCAAGGTTTGTAATATATGTATCCCAAATTAGCTCAAGATGGTGCATATAGTGCTGTTTAATCATTATACCTCCAATAAGATGTAGAAAATGATTGGACATTTCATAAAATTTGAAATTTTCATTTTAGCTTATGATGGCCTGGGGGGGGGGGGGCTTATTTAACCTTGAACTTTTCTTAATAATGAGACGTATGCATCTCAAATGAGCTTAGAATTGTGTCATATACTCTTGTTTTGTCATATTATTCCTTAGGAGATGTAAAAAATAATGGAAATTTGAAAAATAACATTTTTAGCTTTTGACAGGTCAGGGGTGATTTTATCAAATATTACCATAATATAGAAGCACAGGATGGAGTGAGTTTAGCAGCCCCGTCCCCATGATCGATGCCATTGGCAGCTTGGGTCTTAAAGCATTTATGACCCAAGCTGCAATAAACCATGCTGACCTATTCTCAACCAATCAGCGCGCTTGAAGGAACAAGTGGTAAATGCGTGCACATTAATGATGCGATTTCGTCAGAGAAAATGACCATATAGAAAGCTGTCCTTAATTCGACAACAAACTCTGATTAGCGCAGTGAGTTCAGAGATTCATTGAAAACTGATAGAGTGAAGACAAAGCTCTCTTTTGAGAAGGAAAGTCGAATGAATGCAAAGGGTAGTAAGTCCAGTCACCTTAGCCTGATGGGGGGGGGGGGGTTAAGGTGAGCTGCTTCTGTCAAGGATTCTGTCAGTGAATATTGACAGTCAATGATTGGGCACAAGAATGCCAAATGTTATCAAAAATAATTTTCAAGATAAAATGATCTCAAAATGGGGAAAATAGTCTGTTTTTCACTTTATTCCTACTGAGATAATGATTAACAACAATTAGAAAATCCAGTGACACATTTAAATCTCAATCCATTTATTCCATTTTTCCATAGCAGTAGAATACAGATGTAACATCACATCCAATGATTGTATGAGAAATGGGGAGGATTAAACTTTGGTCATGGGCAGGTAGATATTGATATGTTTTCTCCCTTACCATATGCTATCCAAATTGACTTTTTCAGTTTTTAACATCACATATATGCCAGGATAACCACATCAGAATTAAATGTAAGGAGTATTATTCTTTCTCTTGAAGGCCATGATTGAAGCAGTCTAACTGAAAATATTGAGAAATATCCTTGAATCTGCTTCTTCTTATAAGAGCAAGGGTGATGACAGAACCTCACTGTTAAGCTAAAACATTGTATTGCCTCCTTAATTTATGTGGTCACAATCTTCTTTCCATCCATTTCAAGGGTATCAGTTTCCTCCTTAGACTATCCTTGTTCCAGTTCCACAAGTCTCTCTAGTGCTGTTTTAAAGGTGCAACAATTAGTGCAAAGGGGCCATTCAACGATCATGGACCAGTGTCAAAATATATTCAAGTTTTGATATTTCATCAAGACTAACATATATGTTTATTTTTTTCAAAAGAAACTCCCTGTATGAACATTATTTCAGCTGATTCCTCTTGAAATGTTTTGGATCTTAAAAACCTATAAGTGGGACTCCCTTTATAGAAGCTTTGAACTGAATTTACACTTCTTAATGCTGAAATTGATAGTTTATCCATACATTTTAAGAAAATAGGTATGTCAAAGCCAAATATTGCCCTGATAGCTCAGAAAAAGTAAAAAAATTGAATCTTCTACAGACCTTGTTGCCCCTTTAAGCTAGTGTTCTTGTAAACATCCCAGCTGACATCAAGGCAATGAACTATTTGCAGACTTTTACATGGGTAATATCATATTTGCATAATCACCAGATTTTCTTTATATTTCACTGTAAGCATGTTTAACTATACATGCCCTGTCTATTATTTTGGCATCTACTATGTAGCTTAGTCATTCAACTTTGATGTTAATGAGCATAGATACAAACAGCACAAAACTGGAACAGTGAGGAAAGTATATCCTACTAATTTTCTTCTGTGGAATTGGCAAGATTTCCTAAGATAGTTGGAACAAGAGGGAGCTGTTTTCCTTCCAGGCATCAAAACTGAGACCCTGGAGGAAGATGGCAAGAAGATAGTGACCTCACAATGAGGTAATGCAATATCTTAGCCTGATAGTGAAGTATCTGCCATCACCATTCGCTCATATGAAGAAGCATGCCAAAGACTGCTTCTGTCATGACCTAATAAGAATCATAGTCAATACAGTTGATTTTGATGTGGTTTAAACTGGCAGTCTACTTGGGCATGAACGAAGTTTAGCCCTTACCATTTTTCATACAATCGCTAGATGCATTCTGCTACTACTCTTAGTCAACTGATTTGCAGGAATAGAAGGTGTACCCAGAGGTTACTCAAGTGTTCTTAAGCTTTAAATCTTTTTTGATACCCTAAAATTAGAAGACTAGAGTCCTTATTCATTCTGATGCATTCTTACCCACAGTTTCTATCACCACATGAATGTGGCTGGACTACTCCCACTGCTGATACTGAGGCCACAACATAAAATGTAGGTCATGGGGTAGATACCTGTGTCAAGAGAACAGATGCAAATGTTTGAAAGCAGATCTGATTTGCTCTGAGCTATGTAGCTGTAGGAGAGACTGTCAGAATCCATAAATTGTGACTCCTTTGATTAGGTTTTATAGATTTGGATTATATGTACTCAAATGATAATATACAGAATCTTAACAATGCTACTACTCGTGCGAATATGAACTGGACTTATCAAACATTTTCATATCTTAGAAAATGTTCTATAAAACTAGATAGTATTGCCATTGGTACTAAAAAGGAATAAATGGCTGTTGAGGTTCATATTCCTGACCTATCATAAACTACACTATCAATCTCAAACTGCATCAAACAGCATGGTTTCATAAACAGTGCTGTAAAAACAGTACTGAATACAGCTGTTTTCTAAAACAGTACTGAGCTGTAAAAACAGTACTGTACCATGCTGTCCAAAACAGATGGTGTTAGAATAGCATTGTACATTGCTATAGTCAGAGTACTGCACTGTTCAGTACTGTTTACAGCGCTGCAAGAAGATGTTGCGGATTGGGGGTGTAATATGAAAATGTCATTTTCTTATAATTTCCAATCATTTTTTCACTCCTTGGGAATGATTTGATAAAACAGGACTAAATATACCATCTTAAGCTCATTTGAGGTGACTATATCTCATATTTAGAAAATTATTAAGGTAAAATAAGGTTACCCAAGGGCCATCAAGAGCTTAAGTGAAAATTTTGATTTTTTAGATATATCCGATCATTTTCTACATCTTATTGGAAGAAGTATGATAAAACAGAACTATATGCACCATCTTGAGCTAATTTGAGATGCATATATTACATATCTGGGAAATTATTAGGGTAAAATATGGTTACCCCTGGCCCTTTAGAACCGAAAATGAAAATTTGATTTTTTTTTATTTCCAATAATTTTTTTACATTTAATTAGGAATAATATGACAAAACAATACTTAATGCAACATTTAGAATTCATATGAGGCCCAAACATTGCATATCTTAAAAATTATTAAGGTAAAATAAGGTCACCCCTAGGCCGCAAGGGCTTAAATATCCATATTTCGATAATTTATTTCTCAAAAATTACATGAGCTACACAAGCCATATATCATATGAGTGATTAACACCTATATCTCTATTAGTATGAATTTTTTCAGGATGATCAGACATCACATTCTTGAAATACAGTACTTGATGTCCCATATTTGACCCTTTGAAAGATGAATTCACGCTAGATAATTGGGTTAAAATGTATTTTCCATCCTAAACACCACTTCTAAAATAGGTTTTTCTCAATTTCAAGGCTCAAAGCAATCACCAAATGAAGTCATATAAAGAAATATACTTTACAACTATTTTTATTTATTTTATTATAATGTACCCCCTCCCCGCCTGATAGGGGTGGGGGTCAGAGGCTTACAATCCAAGAAGACCACTCCGAATCACTTGCCCCGAAATCATTTTTCATTCAGATCATATGTTTCTACAACTGTGCCAAGTTTGTTGCTTTCCTGAAAAAGTCGAACTACCAAAGGGACATCTGACTGCGCTATAACCTAAAACCTTAAACCTTAACAACTGCCATTTTGAGCATAATGTTCTGATTAGACTGGTTTTACTGCAAAGTTATCAAGGGGAGGGGGGGGGGTACAAATTAACCTTGCAAGTAGAGCTTAATTGAACTTTTGAGATTCTCTCTCATTGTTAGTTTGCATGTTGGGTAAGTAGAGCACATTAAGAGTAGAGCACATTAACAAGTGACCTGACCACCACATAAAGTATCCAACATTGAATTGGCCTCTTATATAGCCCAATCAGTGAGGTTAGCCTCAATTCGCAGTAGTCTACCAGAAAACATATTTGAAGAAAAAACTAAAAAAATGCAAAAATAATGAAACTGTCCATGTGGAAACAATTGTGTAAAATGAACACATTGCGCTCACACCTTTTCCTAACCATGAATGAATAACAGTTGATTGTTTTATATCGTTAGGATCTCCAGTATTGGTGAATGGTGACGAGTACCAGAACATTGAATTGAGAGTCCCGACTGTCCCTAGCAACAACAATCAGCCAACAGAGCCGAATCCCCTACATCCATCTGTGACCATACATAACAGCGACATACTCAGTGCACTCGTGAAGAACAAAGAACTGATTGATGCAAAACGCAAGGAACTTCTCGCGAAATTCAGTAGCCAAGACTCAGATTTGTCTGAGGCCACTCTTGTAAGTCTTGCTTCCGATACATTATCACGAGACGGATCAGAGAGCTCATTAAGATCAAAAGCAAGGATTAACCACCATAGCATACGCACCAGAAGTGTGGTCTCTGACAGTGAGCTTGAGGTATGTCCATTTTCTTTATAACATCATGCACAACTATTTTATCATCACTCAATCACGGAAAAGGCTTCACGTTGTCCTGGATTTCCTTCTTGTTTGAACTGCAGTCAGAATATTTGTCTTTTAAGGAATATTATTGAAAATTTGAATTTTCCACATATTTTATAGATTTCTTTCTTCTACTAATATCTTTTGGATTAGATGTGATTATATCCATCCTTACAAATGTTAATAGTTGTAGAACTGAGAATGGTATGCTTTGATTGAATGCAATTTGATTTGGAATGGAATTTATAACTTCATCTTAGCTTATGTTTGAATGCTGGTTAACCTGGAGCCTTGATTTGACCTTTTTTCATTGTTTGTTGGTGACAGTCTTTACTGGCATGACTAACATTCACACTACATATATGGCTTTGAAGGCAAACTATATTGATTTTATTCTAAATTGGCAGCTTATTAACATATCTTTGCCTACTAATGGTTAGATTAAACATTTTACAAGTCAGGATGGCGAAACTAAACATGTTAGACTGAATCCCTTTTGATTATGTTGATTATTACCAAAATGGATTAATTATGATCATGGTTTTGGATCAATAAAAGTCAGTATAATATTCGTGCTATCTGTAATTAATCAGAATGAAATGAATTTGAATGAAAATTGAATTGAAAAATCGAAATGGATTGAATAAAAGCACCTGCTTGGATTTATTTTGCGATTTCTTGTAATTATATTGTTGGCTAATGAAGCGGAATATGCTTGCTGCAGCAGCAAAGTGAGTTTTCATCCTCTTTAGAACAATCTGGAAAGATCAATTTTGTGTCTTACTCTTTAAGATTTGAGACCGAGAATGAATATTTGAAAGGCTAATATAAGTCTGTCCACTCCAGTCAGACTTAAACATAGAATTTATCTTAATATGATTAAATGAATCCTGGGATTACATATTCTTCCTCTGTGATTATGAAAGGAATTATGGGATTGGATGAATGCCTTTGGGATTATAAAATGAATTATGTGATTGGATCAATCCTCCTGTAATCAAATCATGAATTATGGGATTGGATATGACCTCCAGTGATTATGAAATGAATTATGGGCTTAGATTAAGTCTCCCTTTTGTAATACATCATAAATGAGCTGAATTTGATTGTGTCTGTAATCAGCTTAAATGAAGCGACAGGAAAATTGATTGTAATTGTGACATTTAATTATACAATTGTATTGTGACATTTGATTATATTGTGACATTTATTCACAAAATGTAATTTGATTATATTTTCAACTTGATTGTAATACGATTGTACAATGGAATGAAGTAAACTTATAATTGTTTGTAATTACTCAACTTAATGAAGCTGATCACGAATGCTGTATCATCATTAGAAAATTATCATTAGAGCATTATCATTAGAAAATTATCATTAGAGCATCATCATTAGAAAAATCATTAGAGTATTATCATTAGAATATTATCATTAGAATATTATAATTAGAGTATCATCATTAGAAGGACACTTTGTATCAGAAATAAAGACGACGATGTGTGAAACTCTTCTTCCCAAATGCACAGCTTTATGTTGATCACATTTTCCCATCAAAATCTGTACAGCATTCACTTTTATAAGTCTTATCCAATTTTCATGAATTAAAGGGACACCAAAGAAGGGACATGCAGAATTTTCCCTTTCAAAAACTGAGAAACTACAAAATTGATTTTGCTTTTATTTTGAAGGTTTTTGGATATAATTTTGGAAAAGAGTAAATTCTGATGAATTTTGCAACTTTTGCATTTGAAATTTTGAATTACTTTCTGTTGATTTCTTATAAGTCATTTTCAGATATTAAAGGGGTGGTCAGTTAAAGTTAATCCTCTCAATCCTTTGTTTCCTCTTTAACTTCAAGCAATACAATAATTTCAATTAACATTGTGAAATTCAAAATTTGTGGTCAACATGAACATTGTGTTAGGGAAGTGAAGGGAAGAAAAATGCAAATGGACGAAATCACAGGAAATGGTACGTACGACATTCCAGATTGTTGCTATGGTAACACTGCTGTATAATAGAGAACTAAATGTCATAGATTACGTAGAAGTGCTATAGATAGTATTAATACAAGCAGGACACAAAACTCTTCATTGACATTGTAGAAAATCTGAGACAGAATGTCATGGAATATTTTGGAAATATGTTTTTGAAAAATGACTATGCAGATAAAGTACCGTAGGCAGAGATCATTTTTTTAGAATTTGGGGGTTTGTTTCCATGTGATCAGTTGAACTTTAAGATATTATTTTTCTCACTACATATGTCTATTTTAAGACTTCTTGATACATTTCCTTGGTACTTGTGCTTACATAGTCATACATGATCTTGTTAATACAGTGGGCATATGCTTATACAGACTCTTAATATTTCTGCCTCTGGTTCCCTAAAGTGGTTTTCAAAACCCAGATGGACATATCGTCATACTGCTTGTGTTAATGCTCTTTAGGATAGATGGCGTATTTGTAGAATACCTTTTTGTGCTGGCACAGGTCAGTTGGGTAAAGTTCAAGAAAATGATTGTAAAAATACTGTTAAATGTTCTAGAAGGAGTGTTTCATTGTTTGGTACCATTTATAATTGTCTATTGAGTAGGGGTAACTGTTTTCAGCAACAGTTGTAGGAACAAAATGGATGACTGATTACTTTTTAGTCCATTTGGCCATGCTATTGTTAATCTTTTGAGGTGATTGGTTAAAAAATGAATTGAATCTGATTGGCTGACTCTCAGATGTTTTGTTTCATAAGAATATGACGGCATGGTTATGTCAATACATCGTACACAAAATCATTTAATACATGTTGTGCTATGCTCAAAATACACCTGGCTATGATTCTTAGTCAATTTAGTTCCTATATCTGTTGTTATTTCAAGAAAAGTTACAGTATATTTTTAAAATGACCTGATTATGTTATTTACATGTAAGAGATTGATGTTTATATAAGCAATTAATATAAGCAATTAATTAGAATGGTGTTCTAATTAATAGGTGTTGTGTGTAGCTACAAAAACTGCAGATTATTATTTTGTTTTTTATTATTATTTTGTTAATTGCTTTGGACAACTTATTTTCATATATTTTAACAATCATTTATACTTACACATTTTAGTTTTACTGAATATTATTGCAGTGTTGTATTAAGATAATCCCTGCCAAAGTTAAGTTATAAATTTTATTATGTTACTGGAATTCTTTACCCCTGTTAAAGTTGAATATTTGAATATTGAGTATCACCATGGGTTTCATTTGAATTTATGACAATTTGCAGGCAAAATGAATGAAACAAAAACAATGGATAATTTTGGTAAAATCAATCAATCTCATGCTACTAATGACACTTGTTTGATCCCATATTGTTGCGTATCATTTTAATCATTACAGACATAAATCCGATCTTGATCTTTGCTCCTTGTCTTGATCATGTTGGTTAATGTTCAGTCATAACAGAAACTTTCTTGTGTCATCTTTAACTTTTACATCTCTTAACTGAGAGGTTTGCCTCTATCGGCCTTCAAAATAATATTGAAGAAATTAAAGTGTTAGGGAATGTAATATTGGTTTTAAAAACTTGAATTGAATACTTAAGATGTAATGATCAATGTTTTGTACCTCAAATTTTTTATTATCATTTAAATTTTCTATTTGCAATATGTTTTAATGAAAATTATGTAAACCTAAAGTAAAAAATCTGCATTATAATACATTTTTGCATTGCTCATAGTCTACATGTAGTAGTTGTGATATTATATATTTTTAAAATTATTTTGTTTTTTTTAAAAATAGTTTTATATAAATGATAATTTAAGATTATTAGTTATTAGATGTACTGCCACAATGTATTTAAGCTATATGTGCATTGTAGTATTTATTATTTTATTTTATTTTTCATAATTAATATATGTCTGTATAGTATGACACGCCATGTCTTATGGTTAACCTAACCTAAAATAGGCCTAAAAGTCCTAAATGTGGCCTACCGTATTCTCTGTAATTACCGCCCACTCTCTAATAAGCGCCCACCCCGCTTCACAAAGTTCAAGAAACATCGAGGAATCATAATAATCCATAATGAATGAAGGAATTGTTCTTTATCGGCATTCAGAAATTTCAAAAGCTACTGCGCAGATGTTCTGCGCATGTCAAGGTCGTGAACTTTCTGGTTTCTTTTTAATGTTTCTCGACTTTTACACGACTTTTGCACGAATAATGATGATCTCTCATCAAATTAGAAATAATGTATAACTTTAGATCGATATCCAGCAGTCTCTAGTGGAAATATTGAAGGTAATCGGCGATAATGACAAAGTGGGCGTGCCGGAAATAAATTAGACATAGACGGGTCTTCAACCACTGTCAATATTGTCTAAGCGATCTTTACCGTATTCTCTCCAATAACAGCACTTGTCATATTATTATAAAAATATGTTGAAGAAAATGCATTCTTGTCAAGAAAAATTGCCATACATGAAATTCCTCGGGATTTCTGATTTCTTTCATACATGGGCGCTTATTAGAATGGTCTAAATAATGTATTTTCAATTTTCTAAACGCCCTGGGCGCTAATTACAGAGAATACGGTACTTTTATAAATTGCTCTATTTAATCTAACATATAACATCTGTAACTTAACTAATTTGAACATTGTCATAGTATTTCATATCCTGTACTCTTCTATATGATAATTCCCCAATGCGTGATATACTGGATCTTCGTTATATTATATCTTGGAATAATAAAACCCAAAAATTGACTATTTCTTAACATGTTTTATAATTTATTTGACATTCCACAAGCAATGATAATGGGCCCTTAATGTACAATTGAATATCGCCACATTATATTTGCACGTATGTGTTTACGGCATTTTGACTTATACTATGCTTTTCTAATAATTTGAAATCTTGTAACAATTTTTGTGGCATTTTGACTTATACTTTGACTATACTAATAATTTGAAATCAAAACTCAACATTTTCCTAGCTAGCTATGGGTGAATGCCTGGAAGTATGTCTCTCCATTATAGAATGCTTGTACACATGTACAATTAAATACACTAATATCTACATTTTTATATGCATGCATGTATAGTTCTTGTATTAATTAAATCTCAAAATCTTACACAATCTTAAAGAATACAAAATCTACAATAGTTTCTAGATACCCCTTAGGCTACAAAACAAATCTGACTCTTATGATTGTTTTCTAGATGCCTTTGGGACGTAAGAAGAGATCCCCAAGCGTATGGAGTAGTAAAAGTTCTGTTAGTACGGGCTTCCGTTTCCACGATGGCAATCTCATTAATACATCTGGATTAGCAGCAAGTCCTGATGGACAAAGAACGTACATCTTCCAACATATATCAGGTATGAGAGCCAATGTCAAAATATATAGTTGTTGAGAAACTTATTAAAGGCTGACACCTCCTATGTCCCATTCATTAAAACATATTAAACATTTGGTTAACCTAATATCACATGTTTAGTGTGACTGACCTACTTGGGTTTTCTAGCCCTAAAAAGATATTTAGTAGATAGTCACATTTCAAGGTTTTTTAACATAAAAGTTTATGGCAGACAGAATGAAAAAGTGTTCACATTGATAGGTGTTCAAATTAGAGAGGTGTTCAGATATACAGGTATTCTATAAGGAAAGATTGCCTTTACGGGATCGAATGCATAAGAAGAATTCTACCAAATAGTGAATCATTATTCTGTTTTCCAGGAAAGGAAAGATCACTTTTATGGGACCAAATGCAGTTCTGGGAGGACGCCTTTCTTGATGCTGTAGCCCAGGAACGTGACATCATAGGAATGGATCAGGGACCAGGAGAAATGATGGAGAGGTAAGAATAATGAGAGATTAAAAAGGGGAAGATAAGTTCAATGTTAAGAGCATGATGATCGTCTGCTGGTGGTTATTTCAATCTATTTCATTGTGTGTTTATTGCACTATGGGATAGAAATATGCTGTAGGCGCAGTTTTAAAGTTAATTCAATCTATTGCATTATGGGATATGTTGCAGGTACAATTCTCTTGGTGACAGTGAAAAGAAACGTCTCGAGCATGATGAAGATCGTCTGCTGGCAGTTATGCTTTACAACATGGTGGCCTTTATGATTATGATGAGATGCAACAAAGTGGAAATCAAGAAAAAGATAAGACGTCTGCTTGGAAAGTCGCACATCGGTCTTGCTCAGAGTCAAGAAGTCAATGATCTACTGGATCAGATCAACAACTTGGTAGGGATCACTTCTTCAAATCCTAATCTGTATAGAATATGCATGGACATTTTATTTTATTTTTGACATTGTATCGATCTAAAAGGAATAGAGAAATTGACGAGTGTATGCATAGTAACACAATTAAAGAGGCACCCTCAGTCAGTTGGACATTTATGGTTTCCCTTAATATTTTTACATTGGGATGTGTAACTCATAATACACTCTCATTCTAACAATTTTACAAACATTCATTACATGCTCCATTGGACTTAATACATGTGCAAGTGAATGACATATTGTTATAGTCTCCAAACTTTTTTGTGGATGATGTTCAGTGGTTGGTGTTTGGCATCTTGTGTTTTGCATTTTGTGGTGGGTATTTAGCGGTTTGTAAATGCCTTGTTTAATATTTGAATTAATTGTGTTTCATGTTTTTGCAAATGATATTTTTCAGCATGGCAATGACATTGACCTTCAGCCAGTTGGAAGTAGAATGATGCAGAAACTTTCCTTCACTGTTCACTGGGGGCCAGATAACACAGGGGATATGCTATTTATGGAGGTAGGTATTATTTATCTACCTGTATCAATATTAAAACACGATACTACAGTTTGAAGGAAACGTCCATTGCTGTTGTGGGTTTGGATTGAGATCATATTGAATTCTAAATAATGAGCAATAGAGGTGTCATAGTATGGGATATTTGGGTTTGTTTCCTTATTACTGGTTTTGTTTTTGGATCTGTCTTTATTTTGCTATGTTTTGTGATAGTACATTCAATCTTTCCTCTTTAAGCACTTGTGCCAATAGAATGTAGCATATGTCACAAATTCATCACTATAATGTTTCAGGTGTGTGACGACTGTATCATACTGCGTAGTGTAACTGGGGCTATATGTGACAGATGGTGGTATGAGAAGTTGATTAACATGACCTACTGCCCAAAAACCAAAGTCCTTTGTCTGTGGAGGAAGCAAGGAGACTCCACTCAACTCAACAAGTTCTACACCAAGAAGGTACATCTAATTGATACTACAGTACTTCATAATATGATCACATCATCAAAATGTGTGATTGTGTACTTGATTAGCTATTCATAAAATGATTTACTACAGTATTACATTGTTTCTATACTAAGCTTCAACTTTTCATAAACACGTGCATATGATGACATGTTACATTAATCAGCGCTTTTTATTATTACTGGTATTGGCATCTGTAACAATTTGCATCCAGTTAGCGACATTTTTTCATGTTTATTAATTTCAGTGTCGAGAACTGTACTTTGCTGTAAAAGAGTCAATGGAGAAGGCAGCAGCAAGGACAAATGGGAAGATACCAGGTAAAATGTGATGTCTTTTTGAATGTAATAGCAAAACACATTACATGTCAGGTAGATACGCTCAATCAGAATGACAAAAGCATAACAAATATTTGGGGCTTAGTGGATACCTCATGCAAATCATGCACAATTGACTGTTGGTCAGATTATACACTGCTTTGAATCTATGAATGAATTACCACTATCAAAATAGATGGCAGATATTAACATTATTTGCAAATATCGGAATCTTATTGCAAGAAAGTGGACAAATTGTTGCTTTTAATTATACAATTTATGATAGAATATATTCATTTTGCGAGTCAGGGTTGATTATGCAAAATAACACAAAATCGAAATTATTGATCTATTTGATTTTGTACAATATTGATGTATTTCAGGGCCAGAGCTAGGAGGTGAATTTCCTGTTCAAGACATGAAGTCTGGCCAAGGGGGTCTACTGCAAGTGTGTATGGAGGGAATAGGCCTCTTGTTTGCAAACAGCAAGGTGATTTACACTTCATATTACAAATAAATATAAGTAATAGTAAATAAATAAACAAATTCTACTATTTTTTGTCGTTGAAATACCAATATATAAACACCTCTTGATTTTGTGATAATATACAAAATAATTTTTTAAAATCCTTCTAGATTAATCTCAGTTTCTTAGATATTTGAATGACTTATAATGTGATAAACCCATGAATTAAATTTTTATATAGTTCAAAATATATTTCCTGCATTATTGTTTCATATGATAGCTAACTCATGTCAATACCCTTTCCTCCATTAATAGCAACCATCATCCTTGTTACATTAAGGTGGGCCATGCCTATAACCTTATTTACCTGATATTTACATGTTGTATTGTATAACACTCAAAGGTTATCAGGCTTGGCTCACCTTAGATTTAATCCATGCTCATAATGGACCAGTTCAGTTATTTGATGTTGTACAAAAAATCCTCTCAAAATGTAATTGATCATTTTCTTTTCAAACTAAAAATGACCTTTTAAAATTGTTTTATGCAGCGAACAAAAACTAACATTGATTTTCAAGAAAAATGGCTTTTGGAATATCTGAATTATATTGAATCGAGGAGGAGGATGGCAGTTTTAAATTGATTTTGGAAAATCTAATTTATTTGTTCATTTTAACAATGAAAGCTCAGTTGTTACTTATCATTATGAGCATGGATTACACTTGAACTAAATCTTAAAAATCATTACATTGTTTACTGTATTCTATTAGACTCCATTTCTCTGTTCTTCTTATATAAAATGCGATGTATTTTTTTAAATGTGTAGACCAACTAATATAAGCTTGCATGTATGTACCATCTTGCTTTCTACTCGACTCATATCCTACCATTAGAAAGCAATCAACTAACCATACTCAAATTCTGCATTTTCATTATTGAAATAAATCCTGTTTAAAGATCTCCGTTTTTGTTCTTTTGTATCGTCTAATGTGACAGTTACCATCACTTAAATGACATTCTATATGAGATGAATGCTTTAATAACTAAAGTGTTGTTCCAAATTCTTACTGAGAATTCTACTAAGCTGGTGCATGGTTTTTGCATGGAATCAAGGCCTGTTGAACTTGTCCACTGTCCGGGAACATAGCACGATGTCTGATTTGGTATCTCAAACTGGCCACGTGACAAATTGACAATGTCTTTAAACTATTTCATAGATGTCACTTTAACATATTTTATCATATTTTCAATTATTTAACCCCCGTAATGAACGATGATTTCTCTGTCGTAAAAGAACTTCCATTTGCAATATTTTTTTTACGGAATTCAACTTGTGTTCAGGTTTGCCGTGTCTTTTACTGTTTTTTCGAGCGTCATTTTGTTTAAAAGAAACATCCTCTGAAAATAAGCGTAGATTTGCGCACAAAGACATGGGTATTATGCTGTGCTTTTGAGCAATATATTGTTTTATTTCAAAAGTTAAAATCACAGATATCAATCTTTGATTCATCAAAACATCAACTTTGTTGATTAATTACAATTGACAATTTTATATGAGATCAAGAGGCTAAAAAAATGACTGTGTACAGCAACCTCCATGTACAAATTTGTGACGTCGTTTTCCACATCAAAAGCACCAATTCAATTGGCCAGTTTGAAAAGCCTAATCTGTCATTTTGTAGTGTGTGTCTCATTTAACATGTACACTAACCTGTTGTGTTAAGGGACCCATGTATTGGTGTAAAACTTGATTTCAAAAAGCTAGTTTTTAACCATCACATTAACATTAGTTCTCGTATACAAGATATCAGTATTGTGTCAGAAAAGTGTGACTTTTGATAGAATCATATTTTGTCAAAACTGGAGATGCTATTTCCATAGAGTCTCAGATCGAAAGCAAAGTACAATTATTTTTTCGTAAACTATGGAGATTTATGACATACTTTCAAACAAAAACTTAATTTTATTTTAATTTGTTTTGATAATTCCACATCCTAATTCCACTGAATCCAAAACGAACATATGAGATTAGTTTTTTACAGAAATCTTACTCCATTTTATTATGGATCCTTTGCGCAACAGAGTAGGTGCACTATGTTTAAGTATGGTGAATTTGAACACCTCCAATGGCTCAATGGATGATAATTTGAACAAGATTTCAGATCTTAACTTTGAACAAAATGACTTGGTTTGTAAATTTAAAAATTTAAAACTGATTCACATTTAACTTGAACAAGGCTTAAATGAGCTTGAACATTGACTCAGTTTACTGTAAATTAAATGAGAATTCAGATTTTACCAAAATGTGAGATGCTTTGCTATATTCTGACAACCTGATGCAAGATTCATTACCTTTCATGCTTTTTCATTATACAGTACTCTTAACATGTCTTGATGTTGTTTATATGTATGTACTCAACGTACCCTCTCTATCTGTGTGTATATTTCCCTACTGACTACTGTCATCTATTAGGGTAGCAATGTACTACTAGGCCTTATAAAGTAGTGTTAGCAACAGAGAACATATAGCTTTAGGCAGTCCAAATGTGGAAATGGCGCAATTTTGCAAAAGATTTCATGTTGGTCAAAAATGTGTTTTGTGATAATGAATAAGATTTCTATTTCTACATGTGAAAGATGAAACAGTCCTTAGTGTCTTTGATATGATTTTCTATTTCTAATTTTTCATCGACCAATTTTTCCTGTTATTTGAGCTAAAGCATGGACCATCATGGTATCTTTTGCATTGAATGTCAAAGTCTATATCAAAATATGAAAAGCTATTCTATTGTAACACTAAGACCCATAGCTTTTAGAAACACACTATTTATTATAAGCCAACTTACTAACATTCTATGTACCATTTAAAGTCAAATTAAAGGACCCTCTCAAAGGTTTTTACAATCGAGAATAAATAACTCGATATATACACTTGATGCGATGCAAAACTACCCTAATATTACCCCTTAACCCCTTTTTATATGAACTTTTGAGATGGTCCCTGGCAGGTTGCCATGGTGATGGTGTATTTATGCTAACATTTTTTTCTTCTCATGCTTCCTACCGGGGCAGGAATTGGAGGTACAAATACTAGTTATTCCTCGTTACTTAACACGGTAGATTAGTCGAGGGTTGAGACAGGGGGCCCCTGATCCCTGTTAGTTTCAGGGGAGCCCTGATCCTTATAGTAACCCTCTTATAGTTGAGGCCATCTCTCAAGTTCACTGCTTGTCATTGCCCATATTTCGCATGTCATTATTTTTATTTTGTTTTATTTCATTGAATAATTATTTTGTATTTGTATAACACAGCCAAACTTATTTGAATGAATTTTTGAATGAAATCTGGCTGTTTTATATATTATTATTATTATATTAGATACTTTATTCTCATTATTGAATTTTATTTCAAAAACAAGCAAACCCTACTGTGTGGCATCTGTTCAATTTGATAACAGATCCATCATGGGATCTATATACCTCTCTTGTGCCGTCTGCTAGTAACAGATGCATTATGGGCAATCTGAAAATTCCTTTTTCCAAATCTATGTGTGTCAAATTCGTGTGCTTTCTCAGAGTGTACTTTTTGACTCATTGTTCTTTTCTCTCAAATTTTGTTGTAATATACAATTACAACATTCCTCTCTTAAACTACAACATCTCTTCTTACAATAACAGCCTGTTGCTATGACAACTTCTTCAGTATTTGTAGGATTGCAACTACAAGCATCACTCTCAGCCCTTGAAATGATGCTACCAACACGTTATAATGGAAAAGTGACATATCAAGCTAATATTTGGCCTCACGAGTGCCTCAGAGTGCCTCAAATGAGGCAAAGTGTTTCAAATGAGGCAGTGTTTCAAAATGAGGCACTTATCTAGTTAGCCAGTTTTCACTTGACCTTGTCTTGTGTAATAAACAGTAATGTTCCAGTTTTGTTGCCTTTGAGTAAAAGTTGGTTGCAACAAATTTCACATGTTTTGGTAGCATCATAAGTGAAGTGAGCTATATGTGGCTAAGGAGTCATATGGTACTATATAGTCATATAGTATGTATGTCATATATGGCTAAACTGAGAGTTTATAATCACTTAAGGCGTGCTTTATGTAGTCTCTCTCACATTATTATTTACAGTACTTTATAGAGCTCAGTCGCATAAAGAAATGCTACACACATCGAAGGGGTGGCATATTTGTAATAGAAGAGCTTGGTAAGATCATTTCTCACAACGTTCACAAATTAAATTATGTTTATTCTCCTGCTGAAAATTGCACGGTGGTGGATTGGATTGGATTGGATTTGCACGCTTTGTATTGAAAAACAGCCATATTTTATGAATCAGGATTTTTTGTTATAGTTATTTCAGAGCAATTTTTATCAGTTAGAGGTTTGTCATGTTTTGACGATTTCATAGGTTTGACCACCATGCCATTTTTGAGGATTCTTTATTTTTAGCATCCTGCATGGCTTTCGTATTATTTTTTAAATATATTCCAGATTAACGTAAAATAGCCATGTCTCAGCTATTTTATGCTTGACATGGACTATAGTTAAAATACCATACCAATTTTTCTAAAACGTTTATACTGGCATTGTGACGTTTGTGATATTGTCGTAAGCTTTATCCGACAATTAGAACTCTGAGAGGGAAATATTTAAACATTCTTGATTTTTTTCGTTTCACCCAGGGATATCTTTTTCCATTTGAAATATGGTACAAGATTTTCTAGGAATCTTCTCTTTCTGTCTTATTGAAAATCATATATTAACATAAAACATTTACAAATGCTTAACACTATTTGATAAATCTAGTGTAGGACAATCCGATCAACTGTTTTAGTGATATCACATTATAACAGCAATCTCCTTCTAACCAACACCACTAAATAAATGGCTTCATTGATGACAAATTACAAATTCAAAACTAATGATACAATATCTTTTAGAAAAAGAAAAGATACATAAGATTTCATAACAAACCATCTCATTTGGAACTGTTCCATGGTCCTGTTGTAAATAACATTGAGAGAATCAGATGTTGAAATATTCATTTGAAGGCAAAGGAACTTGTGATTTTATCTGGATTGTTATAAAAGCTGTTACACATATATGTGTATCCAGTAGGGAAAATTGGGTCACTCAAAAGTTAGATGAAACCTTTGTCTTGATAAAGTTCTTTCATTTTGACATGTCTTTTTATAATTCAGTTACTACGCTCATTTTTCAACAAACATATCTCAAGAACCACCCCCCAAACTCTCTTCTTCATAAGGACCATGAAATGTGTTGCAAGCTATTTCATTTGTTTTCCTCAATATATATTTTTTACTTTGGTGATGGTCTTATGTCCTTCTGTATGTAACCTCAGACACAAATGGAAGTCTGTAATATGCAGATGTAACATTCAAACAGTCGCAGCGCAACAAATGTGCGTATCTAACATGTGCATGTAGAGTATTATATAATATTATATTAATAATATATAACAGAAGGTTAAGTATAAGTATTTAGTTTATCAGTATAGGATTTTTTTATTTCTATTTGATGGTAAATATATTTATACTCCACCTGTCTTAGTCTTTAATTACTAACAACTTATTTAATAGTATATTTCATAATTTCATTTTAAAAATAAATGTTAATATTTGATATGTATATTGTATATATCTATATTTTAAAGACAATTTTGTTCTATTTTGTGTTTGAAGATCTGTAGGCATAATTGTGAAAAAATTATTTTTATTTGTCAAACGAAAAACTCCTACATTGTAATTACTGTTTAATATATTTCATTTTGTAAACTTTGATTTGAAATGGTTTTTAGGGCTTATAGCAGCAATAACTACACGATACTTTGATTGTTCAATCTTTATATGTTCTGATATGTTCACATTTATTTTTCAGATGCCAAAACTCAACAAGTAATTCATAGGAAATACAAGACAAGCATGGTATGTGACAAGTTGCCTTTTGTTTTATTATAAATCGATTTATTTTGACTCAATTGATCTTTAGAAATTCACTCACTCAACCATTCATGGACAAAGCATTATTTTGTAGTTTTATTTTAAATTCTTCACATATTAGTATTTATGGTGTTGTTTGTTAAATAGAAGTATTGAAAGATTCCACTTGTCATGACTAGTTTGCGCCTTTCGTACTTTTGGTATGAGAATTTGCTGTGTTTGTTTCAGCTCTTTGCCACCATGTATTGTGATTTACACCCAGTAGAAGTAGTTTTACATTTTACAAATATCATTCAAACCTTTGATTATTGAATTTGTTATTAAAAAATCGAGCTGAAAATATATCAGGGATTGATTCGGCAGACAAAGTTACTTTGTTTCATAGTATAGTGATATGATACACCAATGGAAAGAATGTCCATGTGAAGCTTGTACAGTTTCATTATATTTGACTATATTTGTCTATATCTAGGCGTATGCAGTCGTTCTCACATTTCACCGCATTCTAACAGTCCATCCAGAATGTTTGCGAATGCAGACTCGATAATATCAGCGAAATGTTGAGGCCACATGGTAAACTTTCAAATCTAGGCCCTTTATTATTATTTGACTCATGTTTAATATCCCTCTTTCGTTACTTCTGTCATTTTGGGCTTTCAACTAATTTCCTCGTGAAATTGCTAACGATTTAATTGGAATATTTGAGCATGTCTGTAAAGTGTTAGAATCCAAAATGGCTGAAGTAATATTGTATATTTTTATTGCTTGTTTTGCTCATAACATTTTGCTCCTAACACGTTTGCAATAAACTACCTTTCCCAAGCGTGGAACTCCATGTACACTGGGCACTATCAGAAAAAGGTAACAGCTGTCACATCTCTTTCAAAATGGCGGATGGTAAATGTTGATTTCTATATTTTTAGTTTTCATTGAATTAACCACTTTGCTGTGGACACCTTGCCTTGAGACTTCAACCACCCCAACATTTTATGACACAGAAACAACATGATACCAGAAATCGTCAAGATGAATTGTTGCTATATCAAGATGGAGGCCACAGCCCATTTCATAAAATTAATTCTTCATTTGCCATCTTGCAAATCACATTAGCATACCCTAAGCAATAGAATATATCATTGGAATTTTGGGTGATATAGGAACTACTTGTCATGGCAGAGTTTTTGTCATATAAGCTTGATGTGGTCAAAGTTTCAAAGTCCACGTCCACGAAATGTCCAGGGCAAATTAGTTTAATTCATTGAGAATTAAAAATATCAAAATCAGCACTTACTATCTACTTTTTTGAAAGAGAATGTAAAAGCCGTTTCTGTCTCCTGATTCTGACCAGTAATAGTCAGATGAATTACACATCACAGTAATGTGGCCGTCTCATGGCATGGTAGCAAACCAAACTAAATATATAATATATATACCATTGTAATTTGTAACACATCAAAACATTAACTTAAAATGAATAACATCACTTACTATACTTCAGTATTTTATGATAGTCTTTATAAGGATAACCCTTTAGATTTAACAACTTATAAAATGCACAATATTCTCCTAACACATCCATCCCTTCTCATTGATAGTTGAATTTTCCTGTTTATTTAAGCCAGTGTCTCATTGCTCATGGATGGTACCCTCATATACTTTATTGGATACACATAGTCCTCTCATGGATATATTAGTTAACTTCATGATATATATATAATCCTCTCATCTACATATAGAATATGATATATGAGGTTCAGGATATTGGGATTATCCTGACGATAATATAATTTATCCCATACTTGGACGTGTTACAGGTACATAAAGCCGGTTTGTAAAAACTTATATTTTCATCAGTGGGCAGATATAGCTTTACGTCCCGCTCCGAACTACATGTATATCTGCCCGCTACGTCATGATTGCCGCTCGCATATTTGTTCATAATTTGTAATGTTCGCATAATAACTGTAAATGACAATGGAGAAAACACAGACAATCGGGATCTGTTTGATGGTATAAAAAAGGGAAGGAGCATCCACTTAATCAATCAAAAATTTGAGAAAATAAATATGGGAATATCTGAGAGAACAGGAAAATCCGCCCACAGCCAAGAAAACAAAACTGGACATGAATATTCTAAAATATTTCCACGATTGAACAAAGTGAACCAGATGACCTAGATTGGTATGGGATAAACATATTATCTTATAGTCGGTTCAGGATATTGGGATTATAACTTGGCCAATATAATATATTTTCCCTCAGGACCTGCGGCCATCGGGCAGATATATTATATTTGCCTTGGGATAATCCCAATATCCTGAACCTCATATAGGATAATCTCTATGTATCCATTCAGATAATAACCAAAATATAAAATCTCACTCATTTCCTCCTTTTAAGTTACTGTTATACAAATTCGAGTTTCGTTTTTTGAGAATGTTTTACATAGCTATGCAAAGCTTCCATGTTGTTTGCTTGTTAACTGAAATTCTTCCAATTATTCTTTCAAAATGTATTTTCCAAATAAACTAGTTTTCTCTTATATCCATGTGATGTGGTTTTGGCCATTTCTGTCCTTAAAGCTAGGAATTGCATGATATGATTTTGGTCTCATTTCCTTTTTTGGTGTCTCATCATTTTCAATTTAACTTTGAGGGAGACTTGCCAACCAAATCTGGATTTGTTGTTTAAGCTAGAGGAATTTTTTACAATCAATGCTGTGATTGATTATCAGAGAATGGAGATTTGAAATGTAACGTCATAATGCGGCCTTTTATTATTGACAAAATCCAGGTTGTCATAGTTCTAAGGAGTTCTCAAAATGAGTGGCAAGCCTGGTTATGCCAGAGGGATTATATGTTTCTGTTTCTACTTTGTTAACTCAACCTTTCTCTTGTTCTAATTCATGTTTATATTGAATTGATGCATTTTGTAGTTGGTGCACACTATTACTAATTTTATTAGTCTCTATACACATGTTTTAATGTGCAGTTAATCATAATTTAATAAATAAGATAAATAATTACCATTAACATTTGACTACACGATAAATATGCATTTTGGTTTTCAAATGTTTTAATCAAGATTTTATATTGAATGCTTTTGAAGTTATTTATTAAAATGAATAATTGAATCTTGCATGATTAAAATGATTATGTTACTTATAATAGTACATTATTACATCACTTATTATAGTACGATGATTATAGGTACATGTATATAATGTGAACACTTTATATGGAACACTTTATATTTTTCAATCAGTAGTCATGGGTTCATTTAGATATGTTCATTTGGTTTTGGAACCATTGTCAATTAATTATCCTCAAAGTAGACAATGATTTTAGGAATTGCAAATTATGATTATACCAAAAATAGACCCCCGTGGCACTGCTATACATATTCTGCTGTTAATATCACTATAAGGGTACAACTATAAGCAAATGTACATGTCAGTCCATTATTGTGTAATTGCAGGCAGACCAGATTTGTTACGCAGTCTTGTGTGTATTTTCCTACGTCGCGGCTGGCATGGAACATGAACGCAAACTACAACAGCAGCAACAGTTGCAACAACAGCTGCTACAGCAGCAACAACAGCAGATTTCACAATTACAAACTAATCTTAACTTGTTAAAAACCTAGCAGTAGTTTGGGTTGGTTAATGGTTCAAATAATAATCATATATTAATATGTCTTGCTATACATTGGTGCTATAGTTACCAAATTGTAATATCAGCTGTTGCTATGGTAACTGATTTTCAAATGGAATGTTCTTTTGTTGCTATGGTGAAATATAGTGTTAATTCATCAGTTTTACCATAGGAATTATGCCAATGCAGATATCAAGTTTCCATAGCAACCATGTTGCGCAATGTATTTTTAGTACACAAACTTCTTCAAAAAGATATGCTGCTTACTTTTTGGAAAAATGAAAATGCAATGGTGCAATGTTATTAATACTCACTGTTCAAAATTTGAACAGCTTTATTTGATGCTTTAAGTTACCATGGCAATTGGATGCCATACTGACATAAGTGTTGTTGTTATAAGCAATACCATGGTAACCAAGCTCAATCAAATAGAGTTCATTTTGTGCCTTTATATCAAGAAAGCCTGTTATTTTTATTATCTGTTGTCCAATGGAATATTTGTTATAATTGTGAGTTTTTTTATTATTCTTTAATAGATAATGTAACAGTGTCAAGATTTTTCTGATAATATTTTCCACATTTAGTTTTAAAATTCTTTTGAAGGAGACAGTAAAATTAGTAAATAATGTATGGCTTGGGATCTTACTTCTGTAATGAATCTTACTCTTTAATTGCATCCATATTTCGACATATTGTATATATCATTCAATAACTTTTTAAAATATTATGTTTTTGTAGCAGAACTTATTGAATGACATCTATAGTAGATCTGTATGTACAAAGAAAATATTTAGCCTAATAAATATATTTAGCCAAGTAAAAATACATTTAATCCAATCCAAGACGTATAACTTTACCTCTAAATTTAAAGCCATATATCAGACTTACCATTCCATAATAGTATGTATAATTAAATTAATATATATTTCATGTTACAAATTATCTATTTTTATTAATATATTTATTCTGTGAAAAAATATATGTATACATTTATAATATAAATAACCCACTCTACTGCTAAGGTCAGTGTAATATTATATTTACTATTTTTAGATTATCCAACTTACTGTAATACATTTCAAATATACAAACTACAAATATTATATACATTTACGGTACACATAAAGGTGCACATATAGGCGCTGAAACATGTACAGTAAAACAAGTGTGTGGACACTTAAAATGTGATTACTCATCCAACATTTGGACAGATCCATTACATGTATTTGGGTATATCCAATATTTAGGTATAACCCTTATTTGGGTATTACCCATATTTGGGCATATCCCATATTTGGCCATATCCCATTATTGACATCTATGTTTCTGGGCACTTTTCATGTGACCATCTCTCTATGAACAACTAAGTATCCACTTTATACAGGTTTTACTATACTGTTAAGCACCCCTAATTAACTACATATAATATTCCATTCTCATTGTATCACAGTTAATTTTGGATTAGTTTACATAACTGATAGGAGTGTCAACTTGTCATCTGCTGTTGCTGTCTGACTGTATAAGAAACTGGATGCATGCTGACTTTGCCATATTGATAAAAGAAGTTACCAAAGACAGTGGTTTTGAGAGGAATAAGTGATTCAAAGTACATATATGGGAATTGAATGCACTATGCCCTGGCTACGGGCCTGCATTGCATCAGCTATGTTACTGCAAACAAGCTAATGGTATGATGGGATCTGTATTGTATCTGAGTTATAGAAGGGTAAAAATTGTTAATATTGATGTTATAAAGTAGCCTAGTGTAGTACTTGAAATCTATGGAGTATAGAAAGGTGTAGCTGTGCATTCCAGAACTCAGTTTGCTATTTGATTTTTTACTTTAACAGGCCCGTAGCTGGCTTTTGGTGTGGGGGCAGTTCACTTTTTTTGGCCCAAAATCACATGTGAAAATGCTAAGAATAGTGAAAAACTGCATGATTTTGAAAGAATTTTTTAGCTAAGGGGGGGGGGGGTTAAGAGTTGAATGGCCTGCCCTCTTTATTTAAAAATTATTTCTATCACCCTCTACCCTGTTGATACAACCAACTCAAAAGAGAATGACAACCAGGGAGTGACATAGGCAATCCTGGATGGCAATATGCATTCTTTCCACAGCTGAATATAGAATTAAATTGTATTATAGGCAAAATAACACATTTAACATTCAATTAGCCCAATGGATGCAACACAAATAACACAACATACTAAGTGCAATGTACTAAAACTTTATACCCATGTAAATGGTAACATTATGGCCTAGCCGCCTGTGTTAGTCTTATTAAGTTTACATACTTATATCTATTCAACTAATATAATTCTAGTCTCCAGCATGACAGCTGTATTTACAAAGTCAATATGTAGACTAGAAATAATATTGTTTATTGCTCCTTGTTGCCAAGTCAACAGGAAAAGGTTACATTACGATATCATGATGTTCACAGTAATGACTCCCTGTATATATTGGATAGTTTGGTAACATTGATATTCTGAGGGTAACATTGATATTCTGAGGGTAAATTGATATTCTAAGGGTAACATTGATATTCTGAGGGTAACAATGATATTCTGAGGGTAACAATGATATTCTGAGGGTAACATTGATATTCTGAGGGTAACATTGATATTCTGAGGGTAATAATGATATTCTGAGGGTAACATTGATATTCTGAGGGTAACAAAGTTATTCTGAGAGTAACATTGGTATTCTGAGGGTAACATTGATATTCTAAGGGTAACAATGATATTCTGAGGGTTACGATGATATTCTAAGGGTAACGATGATATTCTAAGGGTAACGATGATATTCTAAGGGTAAATTGATATTCTAAGGGTAACATTGATATTCTGAGGGTAACAATGATATTCTGAGGGTAACATTGATATTCTGAGGGTAACATTGATATTCTGAGGGTAATAATGATATTCTGAGGGTAACATTGATATTCTGAGGGTAACAAAGTTATTCTGAGAGTAACATTGGTATTCTGAGGGTAACATTGATATTCTAAGGGTAACAATGATATTCTGAGGGTTACGATGATATTCTAAGGGTAACATTAAGTATTCAGAGTATCATCATTATTTTTAGGGTAACATTGATATTCTAAGAGCAGGGGGTCATTTAGGAAATGGGTTTATGATTTGATGTGCAGTAATATTTCCAAGGCTGATAGTACCTATTTGTAGTAACATCACATGTAATGTAACCAATTAGACTGGTATGTTTGTCAGAGAGCATTGCAAAGCAATAATACAGCAACAATTCTATGTGCTCTTTGTTAAATGTTTTTACATTGTTCATGATTGATTCAATGATCTATAGGTGAGTAAATACTGTACTAACTATAAAATGATATGTTTCTATAATATAGCTGGTTATACCAAGTAATGATATTTGAGGTTTCGTATTACATTTTTTAGCCTCTAATATCTGTATCTGAAAAGTTAATTTCCATCAATTTGTGACATTTGGAACTGAACTTTTGGCTAAGAAATGTAATACAGAAAATTCCATATCTACTGCTTAAAGTTAAGTTTAGTATTGTGCAGTCGTTATATATCAGGATATTGAATCACTCTCCATATGTATATCCTCAATGTATAGAATAAAGGCACTATGCAAAATTTTGTGTTATTTTCTGTAACTGTAATTCGAAAACAGCCAGTGGTTTTGAGGACTGTCAGTAGGTGATGAAGAATTTCATTGATAAATTGTGTGTATTGATGATGCCTGAGTTTTCACTCAAAAATATATCAACAATTTATACAGCCATATTTAGTATATTTACACACTAACACCCCAGTCACATTTCCTACGGCGACCTTGCGGTCTATCATTTCTGCGGCCAGTAACATTTCTACGCTCGTCGTGGAATTTCTGCGCTCTCATACTTTTGCAGTCACATTTCCCACGGCAGCCGCACGGTGAATTTTAAATTTCTGTTGATAAATAATACTTTTTTTCATTTTATTTACATCAGGACAACTTATAAATGTTCTTTATAGTGCTAGGATGTAATATCAAATGAAATGTGATCGTGAAACATTGACAAATAATGATTCAATCTTGTTGAGCCAGTTGATTTCTACGGGGACCTCAGAAATGAACAAATGTTACAACTCCGAGTTATAATTTCTACGGCGACCCTGCGGCCTGTAAAAAACTGGATACGCCGTACGGAGGCCGCAAGGCGAGCGTAGTTTTCCTACGCTCGCCGCAGAAATACACTGATTTAATTGATCTGCGGTCGACGCACGGCCTCCGTATGACAAATGTGACTGGGGTGTAAGCAATAGGATGTGTGTTATGAACAACCAACTTGTGACAACGATTTAACTGCCACCTATATGGTCCATGACTCCACTGGCACCTCAGAAATATTATTGGTGAACGTGAAATGAGTTTGGATCATTCATGTTTTTATCTCCAAGGAAACTGTCAAAGAAGTGATGCTACTGATGTTATGGCTTTGACACATCCCTTTACAATTAAATTTTTCCAAAAAATTCAAGCCATTTATTGGATTTCAAAAAGATGCCACAAATGGTGAACAAACATGGGAAACTTTGACTGGAAAAGTTTCTACCAAAATCTCCTAAAACCAAATGTTTCGTTCAGCTTCAGCATCTTTGTTTTGACAGCTTCCCTTATATTATTCAATAGGATATTATCAACTTTAGTTTTATTTCATTGAGAATAGTTATAATTTCTTTCAGAATCTGTGTATATTTTTAAAACTACATGTGAATGCTCAAATGCATTTACATGGTAGAATCTTATAGTGAAGCCTCTCTGGTATGAGACCACAGATACAATATACGGTTGGTTAATGTATAAAGGAATTTGTTCCCTTTCAAGATAATTTCTAAAAATATGGATTCCTGACTGTGAATATTCGCACACTGTAGAATACAGAGATTTGTATGAATTGTACTTGCTTCAAAGTTAAAGCTAAATATAATAGTTATTATTAAATGTTAATACATTTGTTTTGTTAATAACGATGAAACATTGTTTATAGTCCTTTTTTGTGACTGGCATTTGGCATCAGGGTTTTGGTAATTGTGACACTTCTAAAATACATCAGCCTAAATAGTGATGTATAATATGACTCGTATTAACTCAACCTGCTTGCAACTCAAGAAGTGTGTACCATGTGCAAATATGCATTTATTGGAATAACAGCAGACTAACTGTGAATTGAAATAAAGTGACACACAACTGAAATAACCAGACAACCAATTGGAATAATCAGACAAAATTAAAATAATCGGACACACAATTTGAATAACCTGACACATATTGAATTAACCAGAGACACACAATTGGAATAACCTGACACACAATGAAACAATTAGTCTCAGACATAAACATTGTTTTGCCTTGCTATTTGTTATGTTAAGCATTTATACAGTATAAACTAGTAAAAACAGGGTAGTTTGTCAGCTTTCATTATAAAATAATTTATTGTAAAATGATAATAAATACATATTCCTTATTCAGTCATTGTCAATTATCCCCTTTCTGTATTTCATGAATATTCCTCCACACACATAAAATATTAGTTTGAACAAATCGAGAAAGTATCTCCAAATACATTTAATTTATTTACACATTCTTGAATTGAATTTGATGTAACAAGTATGCAAAATATGTACACATCAATGGATGAACTCCCTCTAGCTTGTGAAATAATGCCATGTTTTGGATTTTTTCTTTGGCATGGAATGTTACGTTAGATAATTGCACAGTAAGAATGAAATATCAATTAATATGTTATTTCTTTACCCAAAAATATCTTTAAGATCATTACTAATATTAGAATTGCCAGACTGACTAGCAGAATTACCAAACCCAAGTTGTTGTGGCTGGCCCATCATTCCTTGATTTCCCATCATACCTTGATTTCCCATCATCCCCTGATTTCCCATCATCCCTTGATTTCCAACAACCCCTTGATTTCCCATCATCCCTTGATTTCCCATCATGCCTTGATTTCCCATCATGCCTTGATTTCCCATCATTCCTTGATTTCCCATCATTCCCCGATTTCCCATCATTCCTTGATTTCCCATCATACCTTGGTTTCCCATCATTCCCTGGTTTCCCATCATTCCTTGATTTCCCATCACACCTACATTCCCTATTGGTTGACTACTCATAGTATTTTGACTACTCATCATTTGATTTCCCATAAATCCCTGCTGCATACCATCGCCATACATTTTCTGTCCTGTGTTCGATGACTGCATTTGATTCATTGCTACTTTTGAATGGGATGTGCTTGGTACTAAAATGTCAAATGCAGATGTGTCAATACTTTTTCCACTAGTTTGTCCACTCCATTTTGACACTTGGGGCTGTATTGAAGGTTGCAAAGTTCCGCTGCTAGGACCAGTACCTCCCATTTTATTTGATCCATTATTTCTGTTTGCAGTCATACTAGATCCCCTAGTATTGCTCATATCATCCATGCTGATTCCCATTGTTGGTTTAGCATGAGGGGGTGCAATGTTTGTTTTATATAATGTGGCACTAAGGTCTTTAGTTTGTGCTGGCTTAACTGTTTTAATATCCTTCTTGGGTTGAAGTGGGCCTTGTGACTTTAGACGTATCTGTTGTTCTTGCTCACGTGCTAATCTTTGCTTCTCCTCCATGCTCAGATGGCTCTGGAATATAAAGTTGGAGTAAATAACAGTGCATGAAGAAAACTAGAAATATGTACAGAAATACATATATAATAAACTCTCATAAATTACCAAACACATTAAAATGTTAACTTGAATATGTTGTTCAATGCTTTTACTATAAAATAAATTGATCATGTGGATTGTGTGGTGTCATAGGGGAAGCTTACATGCTTCATTAGATGTGATACCAGACTCTGAGAATCAAAGCTTAATGATCAGAAATGACTGAGTTAGATAATGCATAGATGCAGGGATCATCAGAAAAATAATATTCACATTGATAAAAAGTTTAGTTTAGTTCGAAAAAATCCTTTGCTCATACTAAAGATGATCTAAAACAAATATGTTGTAAAGATATGAACATTATTACATCCTAAGCGTGGTCTATTATTTATTTAAGATGAACTAAAGTGGAAAATCGACTTTCCTTGGAATATTTGACAAAAAAATTGTAGTGTCTAACATCACTTCTACTGAAGCATTACAATCATCCATTATGAGATCACACAATTCACATGACCATTATAATAGTTTAAAACAGTCAAGAATACATAATTTGATGTGTTTCATAGCTTATTTGATAACTTATTATGCATTTAAACATGGTTAGTTGGGGCTATTCCTGCACGATTTTTTATTTGCCCCGGGTGCCTTGATTTCCGGTTACTATGGCAACCATTTCTTAAATAATATTTCTGTTATACCAAATATTTTTTGACATGTTAATACAGCATTCTATACTACACATGCTGTGAAAAATTCATCAGAATATATTGAAAAATAAAAAAATTAGAGAGATATTATGAGAACTTTATGATATACCCTCGTATATCATGCACTTCTAAGCCAAAAATCAACTCCTCTATATAAAATCAATTAACTTGTAAAATAGTTTTTGACATAAAAAAACCTCCATAGCTTTCCTACTCTCTCTTGCTCTCTCTCTTAAAAGTGCTACAGGAAGAGATGCTATGATCTCTCGAACAACATACCTTGCCAGATTTCTGTATGGTAGCAGGAGATTGTGAACTCTCCTGTGTTACTGGTTGACTAGTATTACTTGCTGACTTCTGTATTGGCTCTGCTGCTTTGTTTCCCCCTCCACTAAACAGTCCTGACATTCCAAACCCAGTTAAGAACTTGTCCATCTGCAAATAGACAAGCATTCATTCACATAATGAGAAAAATAATATGATATAAGCTTAATATTGAAAATGTCCTCTTGAGCAGAGGTGCATAAATGCCCCTGATGAACCAACATGTGCAATTTAAACTGTATTAAACTGAGGGTGCTTGAATGAAGTAGTGTAGCAAGCCAGATACAGAGATGAATGGGAATGTGCTAGATTCAATGCCTCGTGTAGGATTCGAAACAAGGACATTCTGGTTCAAAGTCTGATGCTTTACTGAATAAGCTATCAAAACAGAAGAACAAATTACTCAGATGCGAGTAGGTAGTTACCAGTTTCGCCACCAGGTGGCTGATTCGGGGGAATTAACATGGCAGGGTATTAAAAAATTCACTTAAACTTGAATATGCATCAGTTTTAGTGGTTCACTTTTCATATTACCCTTATGCATAGTTATACAAACTAGAATATGTCTAGTAAAAGAAAATATTATCTGCCCAACAAAAGAAAAAATATTTCACTTTTTGTGGTTTTACAACATGGGGTCTATGGGGAATCTCCCCGACCAAGAAGTCACATTCTCAAAGAAAATTAAATTTTCAAAGTTGATTAATTCTTTTCAAAACCACATTTCTCAATGTAATTTTACATGTAGATTCCAAATATGAGATCAGTTTGACTGAATTGTGAATTTTTAATGACGTAAATCAAGATTATTTCTACTCGCATCTGGGATATTGGATAGAAAAAGATTTTGCATGACATTGCTTATGCACATTTTAATTACATGTAGTTCTATATTTTTTACATAAACCCATTTAGGCATTTACCATATAGGCATATCCACCAAATATAAATAAAATTCTGATTGTTTCAGTTGATTGCCTTACCAGCAAAATTCCAAATTTTGAGATTATTTATTTGTGATAAACTGTTGCATTTAGAAAGAATAATATCAAATGGTTGTTTTAATAATCCAAATGTCAACACAGATAAAGTTATAAAACAGAGCAATAAAAACAATAAAGAACATTGTGAATTGTGTGTGCAGAAAATTAATGACTGTTGATAAAATAAAAAAGATAATTTTGTATTTTTATTTCATTTTAGTTATCCAATGACATTTTCATAGAAACAATTCCATTTTCACTCATTCGAGTTTATTTTGTTCAACTCAGATAACATAAGGTAATGTAGATTTTATATTATCCTTTTATGAAAGATATTCTTTACATATATTTAGAATTAAAATATTTTGAAGTGTTAAAATTGCTTCACAATATCTTTGATTTTCCAAAAAGTATTATTAGCTATGATTTAAAAGACATTTTGTTGTTAAGGCTTAGGAACTGTCATAAATTATAGTTATGTTTAGATCACTCTGAGGCGGCAGTCACATGAAATGAATGAGATTTCTTTTCCTTAAGTTGGACATATAACAATCTATTTTTTAGAATGGGAATTATTTTTTGGAATGGGAAAAGTAAAATATATATGAATTTCAAACACGAGTGAGATGGCAGAGATTTTATTTTCAATTTAACGTGAGGTATAATGTTATACCTAGTGTTGAACTTAGCATCTCTGACTCAGCGTGAGGTATAACGTTATACCTAGTGTTGAACTTAGCATCTCTGACTCAGCATGAGGTATAACGTTATACCTAATGTTGAACTTAGCATCTCTGATCCAGCGTGAGGTATAACGTTATACCTAATGCTGAACTTGGCATCTCTGACCCAGCGTGAGGTATAACGTTATACCTAGTGTTGAACTTAGCATCTCTGACTCAGCGTGAGGTATAACGTTATACCTAATGCTGAACTTGGCATTTCTGACCCAGCGTGAGGTATAACGTTATACCTAGTGTTGAACTTAGCATCTCTGACTCAGCATGAGGTATAACGTTATACCCAATGCTGAACTTGGCATTTCTGACCCAGCGTGAGGTATAACGTTATACCTAGTGTTGAACTTAGCATCTCTGTCTCAGCGTTAGGTATAACATTATACCTAATGTTGAACTCAAATAAATAAGATAATCAGAACCCATTAACCTACCCTAAAATTAAAAACTAGTTTGGAAGATAAAACTGTATAACATTGGGCATGTTATACACTTTATATTGGTTATATAGGTAACTTTGTCAGATTTAATGCCCCAAGCTCCAATATAGGTTGGCCATGTCTTGATAATCCACATTATACATTCAAAATGAATCATATGTTTTATGGCCTCAGACCAGATCAAATTACTGGTAAGGAACTGATATGAGACTGTAATCTCTCATGATGGGCTGAACTTTAATCAGTTAATATATCATGTGAATGTATCTATATGATGAGCAGAAAACAGTTAGTTTTTGCCCTTTTTCACTAATCTTGAAAATGATTATCTATTAATTATGGGAGGGAAAGAAAGTGTGCAGATTGGAAGATGTTCAGCTATATATGTTTTACTGTATAATTGTTGCCTATGCATTGGGCCATTCCATTTAAAAAATTTACGGGGGGGGGGGGGGGTATGGATGCAAAATTCTGGGGGGGGGTGTTGACTGAAAAATTCTGGGGGGGAGGTAGGAGACCGAAAAATTCTGGGGGGGGGTGTGTTGACCGAAAAATTCTGGGGGGGATATTGACCATGGAATATTCTTGGGGGGGGGGTATTTGCGAAGGAATTCTGCGGGGGGGGGGGGGGTTAATAATGGGGGGGGGGTAGTCTGTGGGGGGTACTCTATAGTGGTATAAGGGTGGAGTGTCTTTCAGTCTTTTAAAAGGGGGTAATTAGTCAGTTAATGTACACAATCTCTAAATGTAAGCCAAAAAACCTCAAGCTTATGTGTCAACATAGTGTCACTCTGTTGATATGCTTGCGATTTATTTGCCAGATGCAGTCTTAGGGTTGCCTTGAGCCAAAACAGAACAAGATCACATTTCACTTTCCAGTCTTGCTTCTAAGAATTCACTGGAAAACACTATCACAATGTCCCCAAATTTAAAAGATAATTATAAGTTAGTTTTATATTGGTTGACTATCAAGTTTTAAAAGTTAAAAAGTACAGTTTAGGTCAAGTGTTGAAACTCAACAAAGTATTTCAGATTGATATTCAAATACAGAAAATAATACAGAATTAGAAAAGCCCTGTTTATGTTCATTAATAAATTTGAGGACATTAGAAATTAAAACAGTTGCAATATTCAAGCATTTTGCAATTGATCTGTTGATTCCATGAGTTTCTTTCTGGAATTCTTTTGATGGTATAATAGTAATTTACACAATGTAGCTGAACAAAACATGCGAGTTTTAAGTGAAACTAAAACATAAAAATATTTTGTTATTAATTTCATATTTGTGTGTGCTCCAAACTACTATTAGTGAACAGATGGTGAAAGTACCATATGAAAAGGGATGAACTTATCCCGTGCCAGGACTATAGTCCTGCATTGAGAGCATTCTTTTGCCTGTACGATTACAACATGGGAGAATTTTCTACGCTTCTTACACTTAAGATACCTATTTCAATAGATTCCTTGGTATTTTAGCATTCTTTTCTTGTAGTTGAATCCACAATTGTCTGGGTTTATCGGCAGAACAAAGAAATTTTCGTTTTTAATCACAATATTTGTGTGTAATATTTAACTTATTTCAACCGTCAAATTCCTCCATTTTTGGTGCTTGCGGGCCACTTCTGGGCCAGTCAAACGGGGAATCCCCTTTTAAATCCAACCGCCATCTTGGAAAGTGATGGAATATCTCTCGATGAAAAAGAAAAATGTTCCCGTTCTGCCGATGTGCCCAGACAATTGTGGATTCAACTACACGAAAAGAATGCTAAAATACCCAGGAATCAATTGAAGTTGGTATCTTAAGTGTAAGGGGCGTAGATAATTCTCCCAAGTTGTAATCGTACAGGCAAAAGAATGCTCTCAATGCATGACTATAGTCCTGGTACGGGATAAGGATGAACCATTACTTTCAAACATATATTTCTGAATTGATATGACCTGCAAGGGCAAAATGTCAAAACATTTTAATTACACTAATCTGTGCGCTTCAAGTATTCCTCAAGTAGAAAGTTAAAGTTAAAAAATCCCAGAAAACAGAAAAGAAAGGTAATTTTCAAGATTGTTTATATTATTTGTTGCATTGGTTAATAATAATCATTCTGATCAAATGAGGCTCAGGTTTTTTGCGTAGGCTTTCTTGAGTATTTTGTGCATGGACTTGTCTGACACCAAATCTCTGTCATGTTTATTATTTCAAATCTAATCCCAGCCAACAGAACAAAGTATATTCAAAGCTACAACTAGCTGTATACAAGTTTTTCTGAGTTTCATATTTGCAAATTTGTGATCCTATATAATGCTTAATGCTAAGATAAGGAAAACTTTGGTATGCTCTTGTTAAGGGTATAACTTTCTCTACATACAGAGTCATGGCTTTCATAGAACTCCTCTTCATTTCTGGAACAGCAAAACACGATTTCCCCCAAAAACATGAAGAATCATTTAAATTAACAAATATGACCTTTTTCTCTGAAACAGTTAATGCATATTATTTAAATATTTTTAAATTCAGACAATGAGAATTAGAATATCTTCATTCTCAAGTGAAACAGTACATTTTCTTATTCATATCATACATCCTATATACTGGTGATCCGCTCAATTACACTGGTTACCGAATTGGTTCGTTGGAACGTCAAAGGTACGATTTTTCTTTTTTCCTTATTTAATGCGTTGTAGGCAGAATCCCCATAACATTCTTTCTCACAAATGTGTATCAGTATCATATGTTTTAGAAAATGTACATGTTTGCGAAAAAATAGCTCAGAAGAAAACAGAATTGTCAAATTAATTCCTCACTCAAGTTACATAAACGCTACGGGTTAAAAGTGCAGAACTGTTTTTCGAAACACCTTTTATGTAACTTAGTTAGGAATTAAATTGACGATTCTGTTGTCTTCTGAACTATTAGTTCGAAAATATGTACATTTTCTTAAACATTTATGATAAAA